AGGGTGTGGGGAAATAAATGGTGATGGAAAAAATAACATAAAATTACATTTAAAACAACAAACAAAAAAAGATCATTCTAGCTACAATGCGAAAGAAGAGTGAAAACTGGGAGACCAATGTGGAGGTTATCACAGTAGGAAAGCTAGGACTGGGAGGTAGCTGTGGAGAGGGTGAGGAGTGGCCAGAGTGAGGACACAGGCTGATGGTAGATTTGACAGGATTTGCTGAGGGATTCTATATGGGGTGTGAGAAAGAGAGGAGCTGAGATGTTTCAAGGCTCTTGGCCTGAACAATTGAGCAAATTATGGTAAAACATACTGAGTGAAGATGTAAAACAAAGAGACAGTGCAGTGTGTTAAGTGCTATTATAGAGAAATTTGGAGGAATGTAACTGTGGGGAAGAAAAGAAAGCCCAAGGATTTTTAACACCTAAACTATCATGAATAAAAATACAATAGATAATGTATCCAGATATATGGAGACCTGACTATTAAACAAGCCATAAGCTTCTATAGTTTTAAGTATAATTTTGTTACTTTAATTCTCTAGAAATAAAACTATAGGAGCGTAGGTGGCATGGGGACCCTTGATGATGACCTTAGTGAGAACTCTGCTGGGGACTCGAGGAGGGTGAAAGTCAGGTAGATGTTCGTCAGGAGGTTAGGGGGAGAAAATGAAGAAAAGTAAATAGTTCATAGGATATTTGACTGTGAAAGGGATGATTGGGCAAATGCAACGGAAGCAAATACTAGCGGTCATTTATGGTTTGGGTTTTCTATAATTGATTTGATGAAAAGAGAGAGGGACAAGGAGATTTAGGGTTTGGCAGGAGTGTTATTAAAATAGTAGGTCATAAAACCTAAGTAGCATAAGAAGTGAGGAAATGAAAAAGCTGATGAAGTGAAAGTAGAGGCAGTAAATGGATGGGGATCTCAACGAAACTGAAGGATAGCTGTGGTGGGAGTAGCTGAATGATGAAGCTGGATCTTTCATCATATGCTGGTTCGCTACCACGAAACCCTTGAAGTCTGAACCCTGTGGGTGCTAAGAAGGCAGAGTAGACTAAGAAGGCAAAGTGAATAGGCAAAGGAAAATTGGTGGGAAACCAAGCATAATAGCAGAAAAAGAATGATGAGTGATAGGTGGATGCATTTGAGTCAGAATCAAGTAGAAGAGACATAAGAGAACTTTAAAGAAAATAATAAGAACCTTTCTGCTTCTGAATAGGATATAGTAGTGGTGGATAGCGGTAGAGCATTTCTTCACTATGATAAGTATGAAAAGCAGATGGATTTAAAAATATCATAGAAGGGCCATAGAAAGGCAAATTAAAAAGACTGATACACTGAGTGTCGGTAAGAATGTGGAACTCTTATTCATAGCTGGTGGGAAGGTAAATTGATAAAACTGCTTTAGGAAACTGTTCAACAGCAACTGTGAAAGGTAAATATGTCTACCTTATGACTCATCAATTTTATTCCTCAGTATATGCCCAAGAGAATTGAAGGCATACATCTACAAAAAGATATGAATAAGAATATTCATTGCAGTTTTATTTGTGATAGCCTCAAACTGGAATAAAGAAACCAAACTGGTATATCCATAGAATGGAATACCACATAGCCATAAAAAGTGTAACTTAGTAATATAAAAATGTGAATGAATCTCAAAGACATTGTGCTGATCTAAAGAAGGCAGATGTGAAAGAATAAATGTTGTGTGATTCCATTTACATAAAGTTCAAGAACAGGAAAAACTAAGTGATAATTTTAAAAGTCAGAATAATGGTTATCCTTCTGGGAGGGTTTTGGGGAAGGAATGTGAGGAAATATTCAGTGGTGATAGAAATGTTCTGTATCCTGGTCAGAGAGGTGTTATATTCTGAAAGATCCAGTGGAAGAAATCTCAGCCGCTATAAAAACAGAGTAGATTTTGCTTTTGAACCCAATCTGACAATTAAAAAAAAAAAAAAAGAAAAGAAAGATTTATTTATTTATTTTTAGACAGAGGGGAAGGGAAGGAGAAAGAATGGGAGAGAAATGCCAATGCGTGGTTGCCTCTCGTGTGTCCCCTACCGGGGACCTGGCCAGCAGCACAGGCATGTGCCCTGACTGGGAATCAAACCAGTGACCCTTTGGTTTCCAGGCTGGTGCTCAATGCACTGAACCACACCAGTCAGGGCTTAATCTGACAACCTTAATGAAGCTTATTTACCCTATTGATGTTCATTTTGATTGTTGATATCTTTGATTTTATTCCTATTATTTTACAATAAGATTTTGGTTTTTCTTTGCTATATTTTTATGCCGTATTTTTTGTATTTTCTTTTTTTCTTAGTTGAGTCACTTTTTTGTTAGCCCCCGCTTCTTTTTTTGGTCATTTGAAACAGATTCTATTACTCATCTGCAGTCTTTAAATACACATTTCCAAACCTATATTTTTCTATTAATATAAAAAATAATAACCAGTCAACAGTTGTACTCTCTTTGCCAAAAATTACCTTTACCTGAGTTTTGTTGAACAAACCTAGAACCTAGCTTTTCTTTCTTATAATATGTCATTATTATTTCAGGAATCTTTCTTAAGAATTACATTATGATTCACAACATCATTATCATTCAGATTAACTACAATATATATCTTACAGCATCAATCTACCCCTATTGTTTTTATATTTCATCCTCCTCATTTCTAGCTGGAGTACTGCTAAGTAATTTGAGTATATAGCTGATATACCTGTTGAGTCTGTGACTATAAATCTCTAGTGTCATAATCCTTTTCCCTCTGAAAATTGTTGACTATCCTCAATAGAAAGTTGGGTAAAGGGTTTAAGTCACTTGCTGAGACCTCATCTTTCCTTATTACTCAATTTTATTTCTGCTTTCTAGTATGTATTTTCTATTTGGTCAAGCCCTAATTTTATCACCGTAAATACAACATTTATTCCTCTTTTAAACCTTTCTAGTATTGCTTTCCCTTTTAAATATCCTTCCTCCTTATCTCAACCTATTCCATTTTATCCATTTTTCAAATCATATCTAAAATTCTACCACCTCCATGAACCTTTCTGCATTTACCCCAATTCATATTAATTCCCCTTCGTCATCACAACATTTATTGTCTCTGCCATGTTTTTGTACTTCCTAGAATTCTAGAATTTGAAGTCTGGAAGAGATCTAAGAGACATAACCCAGCTCCCTAATTTTTCAGATTAAAAAAAGGTGATCAGTAAGCCACATTGGTAACCCCAGATGACCCCAAGTCTTCTGGCATTCTGAGGCTACCCTTTATTAAAATAGTTCTCAAGCCTCAATCCCCAAATACTCCCAGAAGCACTCCTTTAAAAGTTCTGTGCATTTCCAGTCCTCGTGCCCTCCTGGTCAGAGTTGCAGCCAGGGCACTAGCCATTGCTCTGGGCTCTGCTGGAAGCCGGTTGTTTTTTGTTTTTTGTTTTTTGTTTTCTTACTGGTCATGCCACTGGAAACCTACAAGTGCCAACAGCCTGGTGTATATGGCAGACTTTTACTGAAGATTTGTCTCTCCAAAAAGAGTCTAGGAGGCTTAAGAATGAACAACATGACTTATGCAACTCCTATAGTTTCTAGTGTAAGGTTAGGCATACACAAACGACAGCTTTACTCTGGGTGTTAGATAATGCTACCCTAAAACCCAACAGCTATTTCCCCTCCAAGGGGAATTTTTATCCCAGCCATGTCCTTTCAGGTCATTTTTCCTGCTACCCTCTTTGTCTTCTTTACTCTTCCAACCTCACACAATTATGTTTCCTTATTCATACTGATCTATCTCTCCATCCTCTACCTATAACTGAACATTGATTTTTATTATGTCCCAGAGCACAATAAGCTACTCATTCAGGAAGGGCCAACACAAAGGACCAGCTAAAGCTTTGAAATTTAATTTTTTTTTAACTGAACCAGAGTTCCCTCCTCCACCAGTTTCTGGAGCTGGAAGAAAAATAATGTAATAATTTATTTTCTCCTTGATAAAGAAAGTCCATAGGTGTCATGAGTATGTTATTGTTCATTTCAGCTGCATATGAATTATCAAGGTCTCATTGCAGTATACAAGTCTTCTTAGAGTCCTATTTTTTTTTAATCTTTACTGATTAAAAAAAAAAATCCTCACCCAAGGATCTGTTTATTGATTTTAGAGAGGGCGGGGGGAGAGAGAGAGAAATCAGTTGCCTTCTGTGCCTACCCTAACTGTGGCTTGAACCTGCAGCAGGTGCCCTGCCTGGGGGCCGAGCCGGCGATGTTTGATGTATGGGACAACGCTCCATCCATCTTAGCCACCAGGCCAGGGCCCTGTGCTTTTCTTTATACTATATTACCATCTTCTCTGTTCCAGATTTTATCCAATTTTACATTTTTATATGTTGTTTTCTATTGCTTTTAAATTGTTTTACATGTGCAATTGCTGCTTTCCTAGAAAGAGTGTAGTGGTCAGAATGTAGGTGCTGATTATTGAGACTGTCAGGGAGTCCAATATGTACAGGTACTCAAGGGTTCTTGTGTACTGATTAAGAATGATACTAATATATGTCATTTAATGAGTATTTATTATGTGCCAGACAATGTGCTCAGTGCTTCACATATATGATCTTTAATTTTCTCCTTAATCCTTTGAGGAAGGTATTATTATACTCATTACAGAAAAGGAAACTGAAATTTTAGTGGCTTAAGAAACTTGTTTGATTCCACAGGGCTAAATTGAGAGACTAAGTCGGCCAGATTCCAAAACACTTCGCTCTTTCCTCCGTATGCCAGGTATTCCAAAGCTGCCATGTTGATAGCTGTCTCTGTATTAGTAATGTTTTGTTTTGTTTTTTAAAAATAAAAACTTTACAGTGTACTTACTGGGCCATGACCACATCGTTGTGTAAGATCATGTTATTTTTTAAGTCTTAAGACACCATTCATTTTTTTATGTGCTTTTAAAGTTCAGATGTGAACCTGATATTTTTCTCTCTGCATTTCAGTTTGATCCATTAACAATTGAAAGCAAAAATGTAGCAACTGTGGTGTTAATGCTTAAATCTCCGGAAGAAGAAATTTTGGCCAAAGCATGTGAAGCCATTTATAAATTTGCTTTAAAAGGTTTGAATTTTTCAGTTTATCTTTCTATTTCATTAGTTGCTTAAAATATTTACTACATAACGATCACTTTTCTCTCCAGTCTTTAACTTACTTCCAGTCAAGTGAATTATGTCAGACAACCCAGCTATCATTTAATGCATTACCTGAAAGTAATGTATCTCCCTAAGTGCCTAACTTAATCTGAAGGAGTAATTTTGTCACTGGGTAGAAGAGTCATTTTGAAGATTTTATTGTAGTTGAAAAGATTGTAGATGTTACAGGAACTGAAAGAGATCCCAGTGGTCAAAGCCCAAACAATTAGAGCAACAAAATATAGTGGTATTGGATTATAACCCAAAGTAGAAAATAAATATCCATGAATCTATACTTCAAGAAATAAATGATTAAGTAAGTAAATGGGAGAGGAAAGACAGATTTCCCATGCAAAAGAATTCCCTTGTGCCCTCAAGGAGGCAAAACATAACTGCTTTATGTGTGGGCTGTGCATAGTGACTTCTTTCCAAAGAGTAAAATATGGAAACGGAAAAAATGAGTACGTTTATAGTGAAGGAACCTGACAGAACCACTTGTCAAGTGATCAAAATCAATATCAACAGGGATACATCATGTTGATAATCTTGTAAATAAGTCAATGGCCTTGACACAATATAACAAAAATGGCATTACTGTGTTATTTTCCCCTCAAACCTATAACCCCCTGCCTAATTATGATTTTAAAAATATCAAATTCCTGTTCAGAAATTCTGCAAATACCTAGTTAGTACTCCTTGACACTGTCACAGCTATCAAAATAAGGACAGCCTAGGTAACTCTCATAGACGAGAGGAGCTAAGGGTCCATGATGACAAGATGTCATGGAATATCTTACATAGGACGCTGGAACAGAAAAAGAACATTAGGCTAAAACTAAGGAATTCTGAATAAACTATTGGTTTTAATTAATAATGACATATGAATAGCGGCCCATTAATTATAACAAATGTACCTACTAATGTAAAATATTAATAATAGCAGGGGAACCTTGGTGTGACTTATGTGGGAACTCCTTATACTATCTTTGTACTAAAACTATTATAAAAAGTAAAGTTTATTAAAACATTGTAAATATTACAAATTAGATTCTATTGAGAGATTTCTTCATAGAATACTTATAAACATAAAAGATGGTTATATTTTAGTTCATTCCAAATGGTGATAAAATTAGATTTTTATTATACTGTATAACATTTTAATTGGGACGATTTGAAGAGTTTAGTGTAACTTGGTATTTTTGACAAGACCTTCTAAACTAAGGAAGAATTTGATTTTAAAGAAATGGTAATAAAACATTGGTTGGGGACTTGTATGAGAGAACAATAAAATATTTGGTTAGCAAATGGTAAAATACTCATCCCTCTGTGTCACTCTTGCCATCATTGGGAATCCAGACAAAAACCAGAGTGGTTCTGGGAGGTATAGTTTATGAATAGCTTACATAGAATAGCGCAGGGTGAGCTAAGAACTGAATGACAATTCTAAGTGAAATAAGTCAGTCAGAGAAAGTTAAGAATCATATGATTTCACTCATATGTAGGATATAAAAGAGAAACTCAGACAGACAGCAGTATGGTGGTTCCCGGAGGGAAGGGGTGGGAGGTACTAAAGGGTAAAGGGGGCCAAATATATGGTGGCAGAATATGATTTGACTTCGGGTGGTGGGCACTCAATGCAATATACAGATCAGGTGCCATATACATGTACACTTGCAACCTATATGACTCTATCAACCAATGTCAGCTCAATAACTTTAATTTTAAAAAAAGAGGAAGCCAACTTTGTAAACATCAGGGGAAAGGTAGAGAAACCGATGTCCAGGATGCCTGTGCTCCATAGCCTACTCTGAGAGAAAGACATGTGGCAGCAGAGGAGTGTGAAAGGCAGGTGGCAAATAACAAACTGGGAAGGTCCAACCAAGGAACAGGTATAAAGGACCCACGGACAAAGCCAAAGTGAAGAAGGATTGAGGGTGGGAAGTGGGGGTGGGTGGGGCAGGGGAGTGTGGTGGGGGGAAAATGGAGGCCAATGTTTTGAAAAATAAAAAGAAAGAAAAAGAAAAAAAGAAGAAACTGGAATAACACAGAGAAGTTTTGGTGAAATTGATGATATCTATGCATGATTTTAATTTTACCTGTAATGTCAGGTGAGGAAAATAAAGGAACCCTCCTGGAACTTGGAGCTGTAGAAACTTTAACTAAACTGCTCACCCATGAAGACAAAATTGTAAGAAGAAATGCTACTATGATAATTGGAATCCTGGTTTCTAATAGTAAGTAGCAACTTTTAAAAATAAATATCATAAAACGCCTTATCTTTCTTTTAAGTTTAATGTTAAGGGATTTATTTTAATTTCACTTAAATTGATCTTAATATTAATGAAAAAGTAAAGTATGATGTAACCAATATATGATTTCGTATTTTAAGGAATATTTTTAAAATATAAAAATATGTGCAAATACTCTCTAATTTGGTGATGTAGTATGTTCCAGTCTTACAAGTTAGGAGAGCAATCATTGTCTTTTAAAATTGAAATAATTTTTTTTCTTGAGTTAGTGTAATGTAATTTGTCTGCCAATACCTACATTACACTTCATATGTATTTTATAGTGAAGGAAGCCCAGGATACTGGGGGGCATTGTGCTAAGTAAAGTAAGCCAGGCAGTGAAAGACAAATACCATATGATCTCACCTGTAAGTGGAACCTAATCAACAAAACAAACAAGAGAGCAAAATAGAACCAGAGACATGGAAATAAAGAACAAACTGACAATGACCAGAGGGGTGAGGGGAGGGGGATAATGGGGAAAAAAAGGGGAATGGTCACCAAGTAACATGTATAAAGTACACATGGACATGGAGCAAGGCTGGGCTTGAATGTGGGAGGCGGGGATGGGTAGGGCAGAGGACAGTAATGGGGGTGGAATGGGGACAACTGTAACTGAAAAACAATAAAAAAAATAGAATCACAAAAGAGTTTTGATAAAGTTATTTTTTTTGGAAGCAACAAACTATATTTTGCCCAAAATAAATTTAAACATGTATTTACTCCTTAAAATCAGGCCTTTTACTTCCTTGAATATTTTCAGATATTTAACAGGATGGAGTAATAGTATTAGTTTAAATACACTGGTATGTCTATTAGAATATCAATTTTGACCAAAACCATGCAAATAAAGGCAGTTCCTGACTAATGAACAGGATATGTTTTCCATTTTGTAAGTCATTTTCATACTATATGGTAGGTTTCTGAGTTAGCCAACAGAAGCTTTATAATTTATAATAAAAATGATATTCTTGGTGGAAACTGAATTCTAACATGAAACTCAGGCTGCTGGTAATAAACATGGCTCTATCACAGGGGTTGGCTAAAACCACCACACTTCTTCCCTTTAACATATTTTCCCCCAACATCCTGCCTCCCTTCGCTTCACTTTCCCTGGACCCTGTGTGAGGCAGTGGGGTCTCCTTCGTCTGTGGTGCCCAGCAGCACTGTGGCATTCGTGTCTTCAGAGACAGCTATGAGCGAGGCTGGGGAGGGAAGGGGAAGGGGAGCCTTGGCTGGCATCTGCGCCTGGACCACCACAGCCGCAGAGACTGTACCGGCGGCACCTGCCGTGTCCGGGAAACCAGGCTCCCCTGGGGACTGTCGTGGAAGGGGCTCTGGCAGCGGCTGCAGGAGTGCTGCGCGGTGGCCGTGCTGGGTTCTGGGAGTATTTCTGTGGATAAGAGCAGGATGAGGACAGTCGTGGGGGAGTGGGTGTTCCACCAACCGGGATTGCGATATCATCAGTTAGTACTTACGGAGTATTTACAATGTGCCAGGCGTTGTTCTACATGCTGTTTATGTGTTGAATCATTTAACGAGGTTGGTGCTATTACTATTTTCTTCACATATAGGCAGCTGAGGCACAGAGAAGTTAAATAAGGTAGTAATCATTTGTATTGCAGGGTCTTCGTAAATTTATCTCAGGGGTTGTCTGTATACTGATTCTGCCATATTGAAGGTGCCATATTGAATGTACTTACAGATGAAAAAGGGAAAATTAAAAATTTTCTTATGTTTTAATCTGTTTACACACCAAAGAATGTGAGAACAAAAGGTGTTTTGTAACATCTCTTGTGCAACTCATTTTAAAAATAAGAAAGCACAAGGGAAAGAGGTCGGGGGGAGGCAGAGACAAATGTATTTAAAAAGTAAATAAATAAATTAATTAAAAAAAAAATAAGAAAGCAGTATGGAGTTACTCCCAAAATTAAAAATGGAACTTCCTTGTGACCCAGTGATTCCATTTCTGGGAATTTATCTGAAGAAACCCAAAACACTAATTCGAAAGAATACAAGCACCCTATGTTTATTGCAGCATTATTTACGGTAGCCAAGATTTGGAAGCAGCCCAAGTGTCTGTCAGTAGATGAGTGGATAAAACAGTTATTGCACATTTACACATGGAATACTACTCAGCCATAAAAAACAAGAAAATTATACCTTTTGTGACAGCATGGATGGACCTGAAGAACATTATGCTAAGTGAAATAAGCCAGTCAGAGAAAGACAAATACCATATGATTTCACTCATATAGGGAATCTAATGAACACACTGAACTAACAAGCAAAATAGAGACCAACTCAGAGAGAGCATGCTCACCGCTCTGGTGTGGGGGTGATTAGGGGGTGGAAGGATCTGGCAAAAAAGAAAAAGGACTCACGGACGTGGATGACAGTGTGGTGATTGTGGGAGGAGGAAGGTGGGTGGAGGTGGAAGAAGGTATAACGGGGATGAATGGTAACAGAAAAGTGCAATAAAAATAAACTATTAATAATAATAATAAATAGGAATTATCCCTAAAGGATTAAGTTCCTTGCCCAAAGTCATACTGATAGTTATTAGCAGAATTTAGATTAGAGCCAGAATTGGAACTATACTCTCTGACTCATAGTTTAGTAAACTTCTGTTCACCAAATCTTTTTTTTTCAAAGTTAATTATAAAATATTAAAAAATTTAAAACCATTATAAAGTCTCAGTAATTAAAACAGCATGACACCAGCACAGAAATAATCAAGTATATCAATGAAATACAATGAGCATTCTAGAGACAAATGTATATATCTGTCTAGCAATGTACTATATGATTAAGTTGATATTTCACATCAATGGGTAAAATAAGGCTTATTGAACAAATAAGGTGCGTGGACCACTATTATATGAAATAAAAGAAATATACAGCCCTATTTCACACATTATACAAGAAATACTCATGGGAGTTAAAAATCAATATGTAGAATCTAAGGAGTTTTAGAAGAAAATAGAACTAATATTTTTCATGACCTGAGGTAAAATATTCAAACCCAGAAGATATAAAGTAAATATTGACAATATGACTACATTAAACATTTAATTATCTAGTAATATACATAGAAAAAAGTTTTGATCTCACCTATAAGTGAAACCTAACCAACAATACAAAGATGCAAGGAAAATAAGACCAGCAACACTGAAAGGAGAAACCAACAGAGACAAGAGGGAAGAGCAGGGGCGGGGGAAAAGGAAGGGAAGGGGAAAGTCAAGGAACATATAGCAAGGACTCATGGACAAAACCAAAGGGGAAGAGTTGAGGGAGGGAGGGAGCAAGGGAAAATGGTGGGGGGGTAGGCAGAGACAAATGTATTTGAAAAAATAAATAGATTAATTTTAAAAAAAAGTTAAAGGACAAGGAATAGAGTAGGAAAGTATTTGCAACACATCTGAAACATGGTTAATAAGTTTTTGTTTTGTTTTTTAGGGAAAAACGTTCTACAAACCTCTAATCAATAAAAGGATAAAGAATACCAAAAAGTCATTTAAAGCTCTTTCTTTAAAAATAATAGAAATAGGCAAGAAATATACTAAAACAGATTTAGTTTCAACAAATAGTAAAGGAACAATTAAAATAACAACATTGTCACAATCAGATTAATGAGTATTAAAAATTTTGGTAATATCAAGTATTGGTAACTGTGAAATGAACTAGGTATTCATCGAAACTTTTTCTTTATCTTAAAGCAGTCCCTTTAGCATATTTTGCAGTGCTGGTTTGGTGGAAGTGTAGTCTTTTAGCCTTCTTTTGTCTGGGAAACTCCTTATTTCGCCTTCCATTTTAATTGAGAGCTTTACTGGGTAAAGCAGTCTTGGTTGCAGGCCTTTGCTTTTCATGACTTGGAATATTTCTTGCCATTCCCTTCTGGCTTGCAGTGTTTCTGTTGAGAAGTCAGATGTTAGCCGTATCACGGCTCCCTTATATGTTACTACTCCTTTCTCTCTTGCTTGCTTTAGGATTCTCTGTCTGATATTTGCCATTTTAATGATGATGTGTCTTGGAGTGGGCCTCATTGGGTTCCTCTGTGCTTCCTGGACTTGTATGACTTTTTCTCTCCTCCAATTAGGGAAGTTTTCCATCATTACTTTTTCAAACAGGTTCTCCATCCCTTCCTCATTCTCTTCTCCTTCTGGTATCCCTATTATATGGATATTATTACATTTCAGGTTGTCCAGCACTTGTCTAAATGCTTCTTCATTCTTTTTGAGTCTTTTTTCATTTTCTTGCTCTTTCTGGGAGCCTTTTTCTACTTTGTCCTCCAACTCGCTGATTTGGTCCTCAACTTCATTGAGTCTGCTTTTGATTCCTTCTACTGTGTTTTTCAATTCAGAAATTGTATTCTTCATTTCCTCTTGTGTCTTATTGATAGTTTCCATGTCCTTTTTCCTGCTGATGTAGTTTGCAGTAAGTTCCTCATAGTTTCCCTGTTTGTAATTCTCTTGAGCTCACTGAGGTCATTGAGCTTCCTTAGAACTGTTGTTTGGAACTCAATATCTGATAGTTTACTTGCCTCCATTTCATTTAGTTCTCTTTCTGGGGATTTCTCCTTTCCCCTTAGTTGGGGGGTGTTTCTTTGTCTTCCCATTATTTGTGAGACTCTTCTCTTTTGCTTCTGCTTCTTAAGATGATCTGTCTTGATTTCCTGATTTTGTGGTATGAACTTCTATGGTAGGAGACTGCTGTTTTTACTTTCTGGATCTGCCTCTGATGATGTCAGATGCTGACCCTGTCTGGCCTTAGGCAGTCTGTTCAGACTTCCTGGAATCTTCTGTTTGTGGCTGTCTCCTTCAGCTGTTAATCTATTCACTCTGCACTCAGCAGGGTGCCTTAGACAGCACAGTGTGGAGCAGCGTCTCTCCTGGGAGCGGGGTTATTGGCTCCTTTCACGCTGCTGCTGTATGGGGGAGGAGTCTACACTGGGATCCCGCCAGCTACTCTCTCCGTTCTCTCCTCAAAGTCTCTCCTCAAGTGTCACCAGACCTCTCTGCATCCCCTTTAGCCAGAGATCTACTGTCTGTGGCTGCCACTCTGCACTCAGCAGGCCTCACCAAATCTTTTATGATCCTTAACATTACTGTGAATTCTAAGTTAGGTTTTCCTCTTAAATAATATTGGGGGAGAATGCATCTCATTTGGAAAAGAGAATTATAATTTCCTGTTTAAACTTATTTTTTCCAATTTAATGTCTACATCTCTATGATTTTTTCCCAGCTTTGTTCTAATATTCATTTTATTTTGTATTTCTATCTTCTAATATGAGGAGTTTATAATCTGTGAGCCCTCCAAATTGGTTGAAGAATTTTTCTGAGCAGATTTATAAATTGAATTTCATAAGTATTTAAAGTCTGTGGCCCTAAAATGTTAAGAATTATTGTTACATTTGAGTATTAAATGAGATAACCCTCTTATACCCACCAGACCATACTCCGTGAGTGGACTGGGTTGTCTGTGACCAGTGAGAGGAGAGAGCTTTGTCCTTCAAGGTCTCCACTGAGTGCTTGAGTCTCAGGTGTGCTAAACAAACTTCTAAGAGCTTTCGTTTGATTCTGTGATGTGGGTGAAAAAAAAACCCCAAACAAACCATTTTAGGGATTAATTGAACCGATTTTCTGTTTGAACTACCTGAGATCATGGATAAAACACATGGTATCTTCAACTGCTTGTGAAGATCCTTTTTTGTTAAGAGAGCCAACTCAATTAACACCTATTTCTTCACTTTTCACACATGTTCATGGAAACTTGAAACAAAAAATGAGCAACTAGTCATTTGATCCAAATGAAAAGTCATGTTTCCAGAATAATCTGTAAATAAATGCATCTCTGAAGAAACACAGTTAATTTATCATCTTTGGTTATTCTTTTTAAAAAAATTATTACTATTATTATTATTATTATTAGAGAAAGGGGAAGACAGGGAGTAAAACATCAATGTGTGAGAAAAACATCAATCGACTGCTTCCTGTACATCCCACCCGAGGACCTGGCCCATTTCTCAGGCATGTGCCCTGACTGGGAATTGAACTGGTGACCTTTTTGTTCACAGGCCAGCAGGCAACCCACAAAACCACACCAGCCAGGGCATCTTTGGCCATTCTTTAAAAAAAGAATTGCTGTTGCTTCAGAAATTTGTATCTTCCCATGGTTTTTGCACATTTAACAATATCACTATGTTCATAGTGGATGAACCAACAGAACGTTCCAACAGAATTCCAGGTTCTAAAAAGATTGCCATGAGAACCATCTTTCTCTTTGGCAGTTGAGAACAAATTCTTTCTTCTCCTTCTCCTCCTTCTTCTTTTTATTGTTCTAGAGTGGTTGAGCTATGTGTCTATGCTAAGCCTGTGTCATTTGAGACAGGCACTTAAATTATTTTGTTAAACATTTTTATCAAAATGGAGTTATTGTCTTTTTTTACCTGACAGTTATATTTAGTTAGAAGAGGTTATATAACAGAGACTCATTTAATGAAGTCAGTTAGAGAGACTTCATCAGGATCCTTGTGAGAAGTGTACTTTGAAGCCTAGACTTTACCTAAGGCAATCTGAAGATCTACCATCTTAGGAAAAGGTTGATGTAAAAGAGTATACAAGGTCCAAGATAAATTAGATGGTTAATGTTATACAACCAAAAAATTATAAGTAAGAATACAGTTAAAACAGATTTCATGAAGGTATTGGGTTCGCCAAAAAATTCATTTTGTTTTTTCCATAAGATGGCTCCAGTAGTGCTTAATTGTCTTTAAGTTCATTTGGAACAATTTTGTTATATTGTATTGTGAGAGCTGTCATATCAGTTTGTACTTAAAAAAACATCAAAATTGGTGAATTTTTTGTGCAGCCATTCTAATATTGAAGATGGAAGAAGATATGCAATGATTTCAGAATATTATGCTTTATTATTTCAAGAAAGGTAAAAACTCAACTGGAAAGATTTGTGCAGTGTATGGAGAAGGTGCTGTGACTGATGGAACATGTCAAAAGCGGTTTGTGAAGTTTCTTGCTACTCTTGACATTTTGGACAAATAATTCCTTGCTGTGGGGCTGTTTGGTGCATTGGAAGGTGTTTAGCAGTTCCCCTGGCCTCTGCCCACTGGAAGCCAATTGTGGGAGAGAGCCAACATACTCAAAATATCCAAATCAATAAAGTTATTGGTGAAAATGAAAAATGTGTCTTATTTTATGTGACTTTCTGGCCAATACATTACTCCAGGAAATAAGGTGTTGGCAGTTCTGCAATAACATAGAATTGAAGGTGAGAAAGTAGAGGACAGAGATCAACATTGTGTTTAAAGTAATGGAAGTATCAGCTTATTCATTATTTTTACTGAATTAACCTCAAGAAAAGAAAGGTTCTTTGAATAACCTGGTGTTCAAAGAAGAATAACAAATTGATCAGTGATGCCATTTATTTACAAGTGCTGCCAATGAATCTGAATTGTTCATTGAGCCATAGGGAAATGGTTTAATGGGTGGATCTACGAGATCTGTTGTTGAACAGATTTGGGCTAAATTCATATCTAGAAAGGAATTTCATGGCACAGAGAATCCTCTGAAGAAAACTTTTAACTTGTTTGAGCAGACCAAGGCGTGGTGCCGCATGCAGTGCCGCACAGGGGCCTCTCCCTGGGGGAGCAGATCCTCCCTGCAGAGAAGTAAGAGGAGCACAGAGTATGTACCCAGAGTGTGAATCTTCTTCACCTCATGGTCAGTGATGCAGCAGAAACTTTGAAGTATACGGAAGGTTATTTTGTGTGCTAAATGGGGAGTGTACTTGGAGATCTAAAAGCCCAGAGATATTTTTCTTCCAGATGTAAAAACTGGAGACTTTGGTGTGGTCTTTACAAATATCATTCCAAGCAGTACACACTGGTCTCATAAGAGAAGAGAATACCAATGGATTCTTCCAGAGGGTGCACATCTCTACAGTTCACTGGAACACTCGGAAGGATCTGAGTATTGTGAAAGACTATTATTTCTTAACCTGTGGAGGTAATGCATTTTTTAAAAAACGAGTTTCAGCTATAAAATAAGGTCCTCCACCTTGGGACGCTACACTTCCAGAAGCTCGATTATTCTTTTGTACTTCAAGCCTACTCACATACATACAGCTGGCTATAATTTTGCCGGCTCTTGTTTAGCCATTTTGAACAGAAACAGATAAGTTGAAGTACAGTCACGTCCCTGAATCCCACAGGAAAAAGTGTCTAATAAAAGGCAAGAATACCCAGCAATTAATAAGAATTCATCCATCAACCATCTGTTTCAGCTGCTGCAAAGTGAAATTTTCCAAAATTCCAATAATGCTAATTTCGGCTTATGGACAAAGGTAATTGACTAAGAAGAAGAACTATGAACCTAAAGTAGCAGCTATGTTTTATCTCTCAGAAAAATGGGCTTAGGGATGGCCAAAAAGAAGCAGGGGCGTACCAGTCTACCCTTAATTAGGCTCATATGAAGAATACAAAAGTGAGCTTAAAAAATCAATGTACTTATCTTTAAGTATTTTTTGCATATTTGACAATACAATAAAATGTAAACAAGATGTGTTACCCTGACTGGTGTGGCTCAGTTGGTTTGGCATTGTCCCACAAATAGAAAGGTCACCAGTTTGATTCCTAGTCAGGGCACATTACCAAGGTTGCAGGTTCGGTCCCTGGTAGGGAGTGTACAAGAGGCAATCGGTCTATGTCTTCCTCTCACATGGATGTTTCTCTCCCTCTTTTTCTCCACCCGTTTCCTTCTCTCTGAAAAAATAAATAAAATTTTTTTAAAAACAAGATGTATCAATACAAAGAAGGCTGAAGATCATTTTTATGCATATTCTGTAAGTTTTCTTGAAATCAAGATTTAAAAACACCATCCCAACAAAACAAAAAAAGAATTACTATAACATAATAAACAAGTGTAGGTCACAATAACTCAAGTTTTTGATATGTGTTCTAGGCATATTTTGCAGTTTTATTCTTATTTTTTTCTAATGTTTTGGAAGGTAGTGTAATAATTCAGTGATCAAGGAGCAGAGGCTAGAGTCTGTCTGGCGTCGGACCTGGGCATGAAACCCGGCTCCACCGTTTCCTTGCATTGTGGTATTGAGCCTCAATTTCCTTATCTGTGAAATTAAATAATAATGGAACATATCTCATAAGGGACTATTCAACAGGCATGGCCATTAATATTATTATTAATAAACACTAATAGTGTGTTTCTTCTGTTGTAGATGATGTAAAAAAATTGTTAAGAGAATTAAATGTCATGAATTCTGTTATTGCTCAGCTTGCTCCAGAAGGTAAATTGGCATCCTATATATATTTTTAAAAAAGGGACTGGTTTATTTTTCACATTTGATTACACTACTAGTGAAAATAGTTTATGGAATACCAATTGTGAATGTCATTAAAATCTCTCAAACCAAGCTGGGCTCCAACCAGGGTAGGATTTGTAGAGCTTTGGTTTTCAAAACATGCGTTAAAGTAATGGTTGAATAGGCATTTAACATAGTTGTGTTATTTACTTTTGATATGCAGAAGAAGTAGTTACCCATGAGTTTGCGAGTCTTTGCCTAGCAAACATGTCTGCAGAGTACACCAGCAAAGTGCAAATACTTGAACACGGTGGATTAAAGCCTCTCATCAGATTGCTGAGCAGCCCAGACCCTGACGTGAAGAAGAATTCTATTGAGTGCATTTACAACTTGGTCCAGGTAAGATTAATTCCTAAAAATGTGAAATGTGTTCTGACCAAAGGTGATTACAGAATTTACTTTCCCATATAAGAAAAAGCTTAAAACTCACCAGTTTTGATTAATCAGTCCTTTTTGATAATATTTAGTAGTGATCTTTCAGAGATAAAATAAAGGAAATTCCATGTAAGCTTTTTTCAATTTTCACATTTTATAAGTATTTGTCTCTCATGAAAGAGCTTTTTAAAAATGTATTTAAATTTCAGAAGAATGGAATGGTTTACAAATTAAGGTGGGATTATTCTGGATAAAATGTATTTCTTCTGAAACAGGAAATCTAATATTCACATTGAACTAGGTCTAAACTGGGCAACTACCTATTGATCTAACCTTGGTGATCTAAGCATATTAGATATAATATATGCCCTAGTCAGTGTACCAAGATTTTGTGAAAGCCTAGAGAGTTGCCTGTGCTGAAGAGAATTCATTGTTTACAAATCGCAAGATGTGATCGCCCTGCGCTGTTTTCTTTTGTAATGGAAAATGATCACCTTCTTCTCCCCAATCTCTTTTGTTTTCCCTTGTCCCCACCACTGCCCCACCTCCCAACCCAACATTCACACCGTCCCACCCACAGCAGGTCAGCTCCCTGACACTGTCGTTTCTGCCTCTTTTCCTGCTCAGGTTCCCGAACAACTTCCATACACATTTGTTCAACTTTAGATCAATTGAAATTATGAAAACACCACTGTAAGTGGCCAGCAGTAGAGTGTGAAAGGGAGAGATAACGAAGCAGAGCTGAGAGAGGGTTCACTGAGAGGCAAACTGTCTAGACAAACCACGTAGAAAAAGAGAGACCTCTAGGCTCATGCCAAAGGCAGCGAAAGCACACATTCCTGGCCTTAGCAGTTCTTGCCACTTGCCTGGCACTGACTGGCTTTACCCTTACTCCTCCCCACAAAAGACATCCTGAAGAAGCAGCTCGGCTTTGCTTCCCTTTTCTGGTTATTTAAGGCTTAGCTTTATCTAGTAGGCCGAAATAATCCTCCAAGCATGTTTGTGTTTTACATCCCCAAACTCTTTACAGCTCTATTTCCTTATTTTTTTTTTCAAACAGAAATGAAAAGGCTTTGCCTCCACTATTCTTCATAACAGAAATACTAGTTGGTAATAGTGCGTTAATTTCTTAGGACCACAAACTAGGTGGCTTCAAACAACGGGAGTTTATTCCCCAACAGTTGCAGAGGCTGGAGGTCCTATATCAAGGCGTCAGCAGGGCCATGCTCCCCCTGTGACTCCGAGCAGAGCCGTTCCTTGCCTCTTAGCTTCTGACAGTGGCTATCGCTCCTTGGGATCGCTTGGTTTGCAGCTGCAGCACTGCATGCTCTCTGTCATTTTCCTCTCTTTTTATAAAGACACCAATTTTATAAGGTCATCATTGAGTACCCACCCTATTCCATGATGACCTTAGTTACATCCGCAATGACCCTGTTTCCAAATAAGGTCACATTTTGAGGCACTGAGGGTTGGGACTTCAACCTATATTTTGGGAGGATACAATGCAACCCAAAACAAACAGAAACCTAAAATTTTTATATCTGAAGGAAGCTGAATATTAACAGTTGAAGGATGGATAGAGGAAAAGTGAGATGTAAATGGAGCCTTTTGCATCTTTAATACCATTTTACATTTACCACATTTTCACTTAAAATGTCAGAGTTTGGGAGATTTTCGTGGCATTTTGCCTTGTATTCTCCATTGTTCAGCCCAACGAACCACTTCCCCCAGCCTCAATTCACACACATGAAATTACAGACACACAATGCAGAAAGATTTGTCTAGACTCTAATGACCTCTTGATATTGTAAATATTTGAAATAACGGTCATGTGTCTGAACTAAGAGGTGAATGTCCATGCACAGGGCATGCACATGCACTGTGTGCAAGGAGCATTTCATAAACAATACATTTGAATGAAGATAATAAAGAACTGATGTCATCATTTCGTTTTATCAAACACTATTTGAAACAGGACAGAGAGTGTGAAAAGAATTTCATTATGCATAGCTTTTGTTGTAATACCATTTATAGTAATAGGAATCTGCTGTATAATAAAGAAACAATAGATACTGTGAAAATCATAGATCATGTTTATTTCCTATTATTGACAATGTCTACATAGTTAAAATGAATATTTTGATGTTATCAACTGAGAGTTTGCTTACTTTTATTTGTGAGTATTTTTGAAGGGACTCTGGGATAAAAGATTTGAAAATTATAACTTAGAATATTCTTTGTTAGAAAATAGAAGTTTTCCATTCTTGAGACTATATTTTGCTTTAAAAATTGCTGTTTGATCATTTGTATTTCATGGTAGGATTTTCAGTGTCGAGCTACACTTCAAGAACTAAATGCAATCCCTTCTATATTAGAGCTCTTGAAGTCAGAATATCCAATTATTCAGTTGTTGGCTCTCAAAACCTTAGATGTTATTACAAATGATAAAGGCTCACGAGCAATGCTACGAGACAACCAAGGAATGGACCACCTTACTAAGATCCTGGAAACAAAGGTAGTTATATCATTTATTCAGCTGTCTATGAGAAAAATGTGTCTCTCTTAAATATAGTTATAAAATGTGAATTGTAAAATATTTTTAAAATGAAATTTTATTATGTTTAAGCATGGTACTAAGTATAGTGGTCTAATTTGCTTGTTGCTACATAGTTTACCAGCATGACTAAATCAGACTAATGATAAAGGCAATTATCAAATAATTTTTAAAATCTTCTGGAAGGTTTCTCAAAAAATTAAAATAGAACTACCATATAATTCAGCAGTTGTACTTCTGGGTATTTCTCTAAAGAAGATGAAAACACTAATTCAAAAAGATATATACACACCTGTGTTAATATATATAAATAAATATTCCATAGCATGTAATAATATTATTAATAATATTATTACATGCTATGGAACATTATTCAGACATAAATAAGAATGAAATCTTACCATTTGCAACCACATGACTGGACCTAGAGGGTATTAAGTTGTGCGAAATAAGTGAGACAGATAAAGACAAATACCATATGATCTCATTTATACTAGGACTCTATAAAAAAACAAAACAAGGAAACAAAGTTCATACAGAAAACAGAATGGCAGTTGCCAGGGGTGGGGGTTGGGCAAAATGGGTGAAGGGGTTCAAGAGAGAAATTTCCAGTTATAAAATAAATAAGTCATGGAAATGTAATGTACAGCATGGTGACTATAGTTAATAACACTGTACTGTGTATTTGAAAGTGGCTAAGAGAATAAGTCTTAAAAGTTATCATCACAAGAAAAAAATTTTTGTTACTATGTAAGGTGATGAATGTTGACTAGACTTACTGTGGTGTTATTTGTAATATACACAAATAGTGTACACCTGAAACTAATATAATATTAATATGTTGCTTATACCTTAATTAAAACCTTCTGGTTTAGAAGATTTAATGTTTTAAAATTATTGTTTATGATCTTCCTGAATTTCTGAAATGGCTAGAATTAGTCTTTTAAACTTTGCCATAGTTTTCTCTAGGGTAAAGCAAGAAGAATAATTTATCCCACATTATGAATGGTAATCTTGCTTTACTCAGTCTACTGATTTAAATATTAAATTCATCTAAATAATTAAATTTTTTAGATCTAGAATAATGTTTGGTCAAATATCTGTATACCATGGCCTAGCCAAGTTAAAATACAAATTAACCAAAACAAGTTTGGCCCAATTTGGCACCAATACATACCTTATTAAATTATACTTAAACTCCAAATAAAGACAATAACAAGGTCCTACTTCTGCCTAATATAATACGAATATCGTGTGTACAACTGAAAGCGCACTGACACTTTCCACAAAATAGGATGCAAAATCCTTGGATGATGTATACTCTTCTCTTTGATATCCCATAACTTAAATACTGTGATGTAAAATTAACAATACTTAAATACTAGTTCATAAAGTCATACATCTGATGTTATGTAAGGGAATAAGAGAGGGAAGAAATCAAAGATGTTCTGTATACACACATATTCATAACAAAATAAGGAAGAAATATTCATGACAATTACAACCTCTTTTCTATAACTGGTCATGTGGTCATAGTTGGTATTGATAACTACCTTCTTTCAATACTGCTCCTATATTGCCTTTGCCTTCAGCAAGTAGCTCAGCTCGTCTTAGTTCTTTGCTGGAGGAGGGACCCAAATGCCATTCCTGAAGGGCCTGGCCATTAGCAGCCTGCCTGGATCGGTTACTGTAGCTTTCCATCTACTCTTATCACCAAGCATGATAATACTAGGAGACACCCTAAGGGATCTGCTCCATCCTGGATAAACTCTTTCTTACCTCTATTGTGGCGCAGCTGGTAGGGATCAATCACCCCAGCCAGCAGAGAAACTCCCTTCTTGGCCTGTTGATGTAGAGGCATAAGGAGCCCGAAGTGGCCAGGTGGTGATCTTTTCTTTCTGTGTCTCCTGTGGACGCATTCCTCTCTTTAGAACTAAGACCTCTAGGTCAGCAGAGCATAAGGTCACAGAGACAGGAAGTAAACATTTTGTTAGTGGCTCACTAGAGGTAATAATAAGTGGTGTCACTCCCATTTATACCCCTTGATTCCTGGGCCCATGAACCCCGGATGTGGGAGAAACAGCACCACATATTAGATGCTGATTCAGAATCTATACAGTCTTCTGGGGAACCTGGCCCCAGACCTACAAGGTATTGCTTCCTAGCAGGCCCTCTAACTGAATCATGAAAAGGCCATTCTATCAAACCAGCTACTTTAGGGTGATGGGGACAAGGGTAAGGCCAGTGAACTCCGTGAGTGTGGGCCCACTGCCGCACTTCCTTTGCTGTGAAGAGAACTCCTCCCCCAGAAGCAGCGCTGGGTGGAATACCATGACGGTGGGGCGGCCTTTCTGCATTTCTCTCCCTTTAAGGATGCCCACCTTAGATTTCTAGCTCAGGTAAAGCTGCAGTTTTCCACTACTGTGGGGATTTGGGAGATTCCTCAGGCAAGAAAGCCACACACTCATAATACTTCCTTCTACCAGTTGGAGAGTCGAAGGAAGGTACACTTTTCTTCTGTCTGCTTTTTCAAAAAATATTTTCTTCAGATTTTAAAATTGTCTATGGAAGGTTGTATAAGCACCTTTACTTGGCTACCATTGCTGGAAGTTTTCAGTAATTATTTTTTATCTATAAAACACTTTGGACTAGGGGAAATGAGAAAAGATGGGGCAAATGGTTAGGGAGAGTGATGTTATGTTAATAAACAGAACTGTTTCCCTGGGCCTCTGTCCCAACAAGATGGATTACGTTATGTTCTGACTGACCATAGGCCTTCTTGTGTAAATTTGGAATGTATAAATTTCTTTTAATACAATTCCTAAAGCGGTGTTTCCTTTTATTATTAGGAATTGAATGACCTTCATATAGAAGCGCTTTCAGTGATAGCCAATTGCCTTGAAGATATGGATACTATGATGATTCAACAGACAGGGGTTCTTAAGAAGCTCTTAGCATTTGCAGAAAACTCTACAATTCCTGATATTCAGAAGAATGCAACAAAAGCAATTACTAAAGCAGCTTATGATTGTATGTCTCAATTTATATAGACAAGCATATATATTTCCTCTGTATTCTTGATTTTAATTAGTTCTAGCAAAGATGAGAGTACTTGTCTGTTTTTAAATGGCCATTTGAGAAAAATGCTATGCTTACTATTTAAGGCCCAAATTCATCTCAATGCCAGTGAGTTAGAGATTGCTTTGTCATATAATATAAGGATATAATAAACTGAATATGATTTAATTATAACCGTATCTTTTTTAAATGATTCAATCCTAAATTAAGTTTTAAGCCTTTATTTCTCTTGATTTTTGGAATTATTCAGAATGTGCTCATTGCTTATGGTCTTGGAAACACTGTTTCAATAAATCCACATTTAGAATGGTGTCTATATAGTAATTTCAAATTTCAGCTGGAGTCTGTGGCATGCTCTAGAGCTGTGAAAAATAATATGCTCCAACTATATATGTAATACAATGTCATCTCAAGGGCAAGCTAGGTTGACAGAAATCTATAAAATATGAGAGATTAATTATATCACAAGTGCTGAAGATATAATTACAGTTTTAATTTATGTATATTTGGAGTATATGATTTAGTAAAAGATGTGACTTTATTGTCCCCCTTCCACATATCACTCCTAGTATAAATGATAACAACTTTGACTAGTTTAAGTGATTTATATTCTAAACTCATATCTATGTATACGCTTATGTGTACATTGTGGGAAACATTTCCTTTTCAACCCATACTGGATTTCTTCAAGCCATTCTGACCGGTGTGAAGTGGTAACTCATTGTGGTTTTAATTTGCATCTCTTTGATGGCTAGTGATGCTGAGCATCATCCTTTCAGATGCCTCTGGGTCCTCTCTATGTTCCCCTTGGAGAAGTGTTTGTTCAGGTCCTTTGCCTATTTTTTAACTGGATTGTTTGTCTTCCTGGTGTTGAGTGGTATGAGTTCTTTATATATTTTGGAGATCAAACTCTTGCCTGAAGTATCGTTGGCAAAATCTTTTATTTATTTTTAAGTTTGTTTTTAATAAGTGAAAATGTACACAAAAAACATTTTTAGCAGGGATGAGAAACTAATTGCCCACAGTATTTAAATTATTTAAATTTTTCCCAATAATTGCATATGTACTATTTTTTTAATACAACAATTACGTATTCCAATCTTAGCCTTTTCAGATTAATTCTTTTGGCTGATTTTCCCGATAGAATCCGCACTCAGGGTGCTCTGTTCAGTGTAGCTGTCTTTGAGCCATCAGAGAAATCTTAATTATAAATCTGGACAATTTAATTCAGAGACTGGGAAAATTTCATATATTGTTTATTTTGTAAAACTAATAAGGACTACATATATTTTAAAACATTTTAGAAGCCACATAGTTGAGATTTAAATATATTAATTGCAGCTTTTTAATGAAACTGTTATGGCCTGCCTGAACTGTAATTTTATTTTAATTTTTTAATATTTTGATTTTGTTTTTTTTAGAGAGAGGGGAAGAAAGAGAGGGAGAGAAACATTCATGTGAGAGAGAAACATTGATCAGTTGTCTCTTGTGCATGCCCCAACGGGGACAGAACCTGCAACCCAGGCGTGTGCCCTGACTAGGAATTGAACCAGTGACCTTTCACCTTGTGGGACAACACCCAACTGAGCCATAGTGGTCAGGGCCTGAATTCTAATTTTAAATAAAACGTGCAAGGGATTAAAATGATAGGATTATAGAGCATGGTTCATGACTGGTTTAAGGCAAATGAACAGAAATGTTGGTGATTCAGCTTGTGCCAGCCGTGGGCAGGCCGCCCAGCGCACATCTCCGCAGCAGATGGGCCGAGCCCCAAGTACCTGCAAACATGGCAGCACCTAAATGTGACACCGCTTCTGCGAAAGGGGCAATTTAAAAGTTACTGTGAAAGAAGGCAAATCATATGTTACCTTTAAAGTGAAAACCTAGATGCAATCTTTTCTGAAAGTATTTCTGAAAAACACAATTAATTAAAATAGATATAAGTAATGAATTAGTTCCAAATGTAGATGTTATAACCTCAATCAGTATCAGGATTTTTGCAGAGATTCTTATTTTAACTGAATATTCTTCTCAAATATCAACATCCTAATAGCATATACCACACATTCTTCTATTTTAATCGTGTAAACTGACTTCATAAAAGTTAATGGAGAATCAAATGGATGATAAAGCTTAATGAAGGAAGCTGTAAATAAATGAATTATTTGTTAGCTGTTTCTTTTCAAAGTAATTTCTGGTACTTCTTATGGCATCAAAACTGAATTTGGTTTAATATTTATTTTCTACTACATGCTTTTTAATAAATAGTAACTTATTTAAAATTAACTATAGAATATACAAAAAATTAGGTTTTAATGTTCTAATTTATTTGAAGTAATATTTGCTTTAGCATAGAAATGAGATTGTCATTTATTTAAAAAATCAAATGAGCTCTGACTGGTGTGGCTCAGTGGGTTGGACATCATCCTGCAGGGCAAAGGGCTCTGGGTTCAGATCCTGGTTGGGCACATGCCTGGGTTGCAAGTTCATTCCCCTGTCAGGGTGAGAGACAACGGATTGATATTTCTCTCTCACACCAATATTTCTCTCCCTCTCTGTCTCCCTCTCTACCCCCCTCTCTCAAAATAATAATAAGTAAAATCTTTGAAATCAAGAGAAAAACATTAGGGAATGAAAAGAACATTAAAAATACTTTGGTTTTTAACTTAGTATTTTATAATGAGGTGTGAATTATTATGGTATGTGCTTAAAGCCATAAATTTACTTGTTTTCAAATAAAAACTATACTAATGTATGTTTAGATTATGTTTATGGTAATTTAACAATTAGATACTTATTTTAATTGTTGATATGTCACCATGTATTGTAACTTAAGATAAAAGATGGTTATGATTTTTATATAAACTTATAAACTATGGAATCATAATTTATTACTCATTTTTACTTTCTCCAACTCACCAGTTTATAGATCTAAGTCATTCTTCAAATATTAGGTTTGTGTTTAAAATAAATATCAAATAAATTGGTGTTTGTCCTTAGTGAAAAGAAAGCATGTGTGAACGTAACACCATGTCAAGCACATGACTGTTGTTAAATAAGTTCTTGCTAAATCTAAAACTCTTCTTGTCATTATTATTATAGAATTTTGCTATAGTATTGCCATCATATAAGGGAACAGAAAGAAGAGCAATATTCCTGACACATTTTGCATAACCATTGTGAATTAAAGGCTAAATAAACATTTTTTGTGTAGTCAATACTCCTTGTGACTAAAACTAGCAAATAGTTTGAATTCCTATCATATTTTGGACACTTTTTGCAGCAAAATTCTAATTTTTTTTTTTTTTTGGCTTATGAAAGCTCAAAACAGAAAACTTTTTCATGAACAAGAGGTTGAAAAATGCCTGGTAGCCCTTTTAGGCTCTGAAAGTGATGGAACTAAAATTGCTGCTTCCCAAGCTATCTCAGCAATGTGTGAGAATTCAAGCAGCAAAGAATTTTTCAATCATCAGGGTAAGCAAACCGGAAAAACTGTTTTGTACATTTTTAGGTTACCATATCCTAGGTGATGTGGATGTTTGTAATGCTACATTTTACCTTTCTTTCTTCTGTAGGGATTCCACAGTTGGTTCAGTTGCTAAAAAGTGACAATGAAGAGGTTAAGGAAGCTGCAGCCCTGGCGCTGGCTAATCTGACTACTTGCAATTCCGCTAATGCAAAGTAAGTTCAGAAGCGCTGACTCAACACTATGCCGCATGGGAGATCTAACAGTGCAAGATGTGCTCACTTTAATATATTGGCTTTCAGAAAAGTTTACATTTTCTTTCAGATGGTCTATCTTGGGATAAAACCCATATGAAACTTCAGAAACCCTTATGAAAACAAGTCATCAGATAGGCCTGTTTTCCAATGATACAGTCATGTGCCACATTACTGATTTTCAGAGGAAATGACCAAACAGTTTACCTATCTTCATATTTTGTGAATTTTACCTCACCCTCTCAATTTGAAGCAGTAATTAAAAAACCTACATAAATTCCATTTTTACTCATACTTGGCCTTTTATATTAACTTGTTCCCTAGACCTGTCTTCCCTCTGGAAATGGCCTTCACTGCTCAATGATTACACCCAAATGGAAAGACTAGGGTGGGATTCCTGAGGAAATCGGCCCAGCTCTAGCCCTGCAGATGTTGGAGATTTGGCTGCCTAGCTGAGAAGTTGTCTGAAAATAAAAATTTACACACACATGCAAATATGGAAATCTGGTCATATTTTCCCATGGTCCAAGGATATAGGGAAATCTATGCCCCCATGGCTCACAGAGTATAAGCAGATGATGGTGGTGATGATGATGATGATGATGGCTGGCATGTGTGCCAGGCATTGAGCTAAGTTCTCAAAATGGAATATATCATGAAATCCTCAAAACAGTCCTGTGGGGTAGGGTATGTTGTTGTCATGTCCATTTTGCAGACAATGAAACAGAGGTGCACAGGGGTGGGGTGGACTCTCAGGCTGAGGCAGCCTGCCCTCTGCATCTATGAGGAGTTTGCAGGAGTCAAAGTTCTTGATTTCCACCCTTGCAACTTCCAACCCTGTCTTCTGCTCACTGTCTCCTTGACTCTGAGACTCCTCCAAATCTTTCCCACTACAACGTTTCCCTTTGCCTTCCAGATCTCTTTGAATTCCTCTAGATTGGGAGGACCAGGGTTCCTTGAACTCCTGTAAGTGCCTTTGAAGGAGTGAGTTTTCTTCCCCTCCTTTCCCTCCTACCCTCATTCCACTCTTTGCGTGTGTTCCTCCTCCCACCATCCCTCCTCCCTTCCTCTTCTCCCTCTTCCCTCTCTTATAAAGAGTAAGAAAAGGCAAAAAATATATCCAATGACTAGTAAAAATTTCCCATTATACTATAAATCAAGTGGCCTGCCTTGTTGCTCATTCTTTGAGGAATGATGAAGTGAACCGAGTAGATTCTGGCCTTTTTTTTTTTTTTCCTAGAAAATATTCTACTTTTTAAAGCTTAAGAAATTGATGATTGTAAAAAAGGTAATGCACTAATAGTCAGAATATCACATTGTTGATCCTGTGTTTCCTGAATGAATTGCTTCGTGAACAAGTTCATAGTCTCTCTAAATTTTACCTTTCTTAATTATAAAACAAACAATAAAAAGGGAATCCAGATTATCTCTTATATTTGCTGCTTCTGAGTGATTACCCTCTTCCCAATATCACAAAGAGTCTGGAACACAACTTTTACCCGGAACTAGATGGGATCACACTTTACTACTGCTATCATTTTATCCATAAAGCTAAAGAACTTACTTCCTCTGAACTTTGGCTTTTTTTGTAATTATTTCACCCTCACCTGGTGTTCTTTATGTGCTAGTCCCCTTCCAGGCTGTGGGGATGTAGTAGGGAACACGGCAAAGGTTCCATGCCCCTGCTTCTGTGAAACTGACATTTTAGTCAGGGAGACAAATAATACCTGAGAAACTTTTAATAGGAAATTTCAGAAGTGATAATAGTATAGATTAAATACTGCAGCACAGTGCCATAGAGAGAGCACAGGGGACACTGGGGCTGTGAGAGGAGTGGTGGGGAGCAGCACGGCGTTTACCCAAGAAGGCCTCTCTGAAGAGGTGACGTCAGAGCTGGTGAGAATAACCCAGTCCTGGCAAGTGCCGGGGTTTTATTTGCTCTCACACTAGAGCACTCAGTGTTCTAATTATTTAATTAAGACATTCAACAATATGGTTGAGTCCCTTGTCATTTACAGATATGTAAATAGACTGATTTCCAGGCTAAACAGAAACATTTGGTAACTGCAAAAGCCACTTATTAGGAATATTATAATACCTTGACCATTATGCCTATTCTATCAGGAGAGAAGCCAGCCATGTAAGATGAAGACAGTGTTTGTTCCTGATGGCAGCTGGTTAATTATTGGCAGGCAGTCCAGCTTTTGAAACAGAAGGTGGCGTGTATAGCAGTGAAGTATTGTGATTGAACAGATAGGTCAATAAGGATTCCATGTCACTTGTAAGAAAACTACATTTGATTTCCCCAGAGAAAAACCTACATGCTGTTTGTGGAGGTCAGCAGGTACTAGTTTCTTTGCAACTGGCATTTCTCTCTTGAGAAACCATGATGTCTCAGCAACTGTAGCAGAAAAACCCATTCTGAATGCCTCAAAATCATGCCCCCTAAAACAAATCGATATGAGAGAAACAATTTGGTTTCACATACTTTTAAAATAATTTTTGCATTTTTTAATTTTGCTGTAGGATGGAAAACTGTCATTCCTTTCTGTGACTGGGTTTTACTTTAATAATTATGTTACTTAAAAAGTCTTTATTTCAAGACTTTGCCTGTAACTAATTGTGATCCTCTCCCTTATCACTGATAAGTTTCTTCATTATTTTTTAAAAATTTTATTTATTTATATTTAGAGAGAGGGGAAGGGAGGGAGAAAGAGAGGGAGAGAAACATCGATGTGAGAGAGGAACATCAATCATTGACTGGTTGCCTCTTGTACTCACCTTGACTGGTGGTAGAACCTACAACTCAGGCTTGTGCCCTGACTGGGAATAGAACTGGTGACCTTTCACTTTGCAGGACAATGTCCAATTCACTGAGCCACACTGGTCAGGGCCTGATAAGCTTCTTTAAATATTATTTCTTAAAAAGGAGAAAATTCTCCTGGCTGCTTTCGTCAGCCCTGGAGTCCAGCCAGAGTTTGGGGGCACAGACCGAAGTCTTCTGCAGCCGTGGCGCTGCAGCGGGGTCACAGTGGTTTTGGACTCTGGAATTGATCAATTTAAGGAACACACTAGACATCTTGGATCCTTACCTTTGTTGAAACACTGGCTGGAACTGGAGTCAGGAGTCCTGTTCACAGCATTCCAAATCTGGCTGTGATAACCAGGAAGCCTGATTCTCATAATGGCCAGTGTCTCACCCCCGCACACCTGTACAGATGCACTGGGGGCCCGCAAGGCTCAAACACGCCAACCCTGAGTGGCCGCTGCACATGCACCTCTTGAACACCTGCGTGTGTCTGCTGCCATATGCAAAGCCACGCTGGTGGGAACGGTTGCAATCACTGTTAACAAACAAGATTCTGATTGCCAATATTGCCATCTGTTCCCTCAGGTTCCACATACTACCCTGTATGTGGGCTCTGTTAAACAGATTTATGTACTGCCCAAGGTCACCCTTGCTTCATGTAACCAGTCTTTGCAGAGGTGTTAAATGGGAACCTCAAAACTGCTCCAAGGATCAAATTCTGAGAAGTACCACATAGTGTCATCTGATGACACAGCCAAAATAAACAGAGTCAACAATGTCTGCAAAGACAACATAGAGACATCCCTTGGTATATAAAAAGGACAGATTGATCAAAAGTTTCCCAAAGTGCAAAATTTCATTTATAAAACTCCATCAAAAGGTTCCTTCATGACATGATTGCAGAAGCACCATGGGCAGGGAGGAAATACCCCGATTTCAACAGCAGCTGTGAATGATACAAGTGGGGATCCCGATTTTGTTGGGTCCTCTCCCTCCTTGCAAACTCAAAGTTGAGCAGAGTCCTGTTCCCTCACCCTTTCTCAAGAGTTCCAGAGGTTTTTTCTTCATGCCTTTTGAGTTGATCCAAGTCAATGACAATATACTGACCTGTCAGCACTTGGGATATAAATAAGACTCAAACACTGCCTGTAAGAAGTGGGTACCAGGGGCAGACAGAGCACAGAGGAGGGAGTGTTAACAGGGAGAGGTAGCGACGGTCACAGATGGCTTCGCAGAGGAGAGGGTGGTTGAGCATGATTTGAAGGGTGGCCTCAAGTTCCTCAGGCAGAGGTGCAGGAAGGGAAGGGTGTTTTGGACAAAGTGAACGTGAATGCGAAGGCACACAGCAGACAGGAAATCGCACGGTTTTCAGTGAGCCGTAAATAGACACTATCTGTGTAATTGAGTTTTTCCTTAATAATGTTCTTAGTGCTCAGGCTGTAAGTGCTTTCTTATTGTGGGGCCTGGGCACTTAGTGAAAACTTGTGCTGAATTCCTTTCCATAAAGAGTGCTGTAAAATAATCTTTCAAGATTGCTGCTATTCTCTGATTGTGAACATTTGTGCCAAACATCTTTTTTTTAAACAAAAATATTTGTTTATCTGTTTAGCAAACAGATGCTCTGAGCTTGTGCTAAAAGAGACCTAACCTAGTTGTGAGGTCAAGACATGCTTCCTTGAGACATTTGTGTGGAGCCTTGAAAGACGAATGGGAATACTCCAGAGGGAAGAGTGTCAGGAAGTGGGGACAGCGTATGGGGATACCCTGAGGTGAGACAGAGTCTGGTCAGTCCAAGAGGCCCAGAGCAAAGAGCAGCCAGAGGGCTGGTAGGGAACGCGGGCAGGTGAGGGAGGCAGGCTCGGCTCATGCAGGGCCTGGAGGCCACGGGAGATATCGGGGGCTTCATCTGAGCCATGGGGAGCCATGACAGTTCTAAGCAGGGGAGCAGTATGATTATATGGATTATTTTAAAAGATCACATGGACATGGACAATAGTGTGGTGATTGTGGGGGTGGTATAAGGGGACTAAATGGTAATGGAAAAAATACAATAAAATTTTTTTAAAAAGATCACTTTTGCTGTAAGATGAAGAAAGAATTGGAGAAGAAAAAGAGAGGCCTGTCATGACAATACTTACACTAATTCACAACAGAGTGTGGTGGGTTGGATTCCGTGCGAGAGACAGAGAAAAGAGAGATCTGAGAAATGTGGAGGTGGAAAATAGGACTTGGTAATAGTTTAGATACACATGACATGTCAAACTTGACTTCTTTTTACATATATCAAATGATATAAACAGATGACTTTCTACATCCCCTTTCTTTATTTTAGCTTGACTCTTTTTTCAGTTTACATATAAAAATTTATTTGATTAAACACCAACTGAATGAATACCAATGATAGTAAATGTCAGAGCATATTTTCAGATTATTGTGATGACGCACGGCCCTGTGATTCTGGATCTTGTAACAAAGCGGTGTGACTTCTGTCCCACTCATTTGGATAATGCTGTACTATCCAGGAGACTGAAATGTGTTTTGAAATATGTTTTAAAATATGACAGGCTTCAACCTGTATACATATAAGACAAGAAAAAAATAAAACAATGTCTTGGGTATGAAAGATGACATTAATGCAATTCTTTTAAAAAAGTAAAAATTGTGTACTCATAACTGAAACTAGTTTTTTAAGTAAGAATAATAGCTTGATTTTTTACCATAATAATTCAATCTCAGTGATGTTTTTTGCACAATAAACAGAGCTGCACATCAATTACAGGCAGATATGTACCCATCATGCAAGTGGCTCTCTCAGCTGTACGTGTACGATCTGTTTTCCTGTGTGGGCATTTACATTTAATATAGTGAAAGCCATATTCCGCTGTGTGCTAGAGTCTTTGGTTTTTTTAAACAGCTAGGTTTTTATGTACTTTCCTTTACTGCCCTCATGAAGAGCAACGAAGAGAGCAGAAGGTGGACTATAAATGAACCAAGGCCAAATATGACTTTGTACAGGAGAAAGGCAGAGACAAAGCCCAAGCAGAAAGGCTGTGAGCAGAGGCGCACCTGATGCAAATCCCTGTATCGCCCCAACCCCATTTATTTATAAACAAGAGAGATTAAAATGATGCAGCCTGACCCTGTGCACTCACTCACATTTTCCAAAAGCTCTTCTGTACACAGAAGATAGAGCCTTTGAGATTTATTGGAATGTGGTTACCTAACATACTCTGGCTTCTGTCGTGGATGCCACTGAAATACCTCCACTGAGTGTTCTTTCTTAGTCTCCAAGATGTTTTAAAAAGTGAACATTATCAAATGAAAAACCATTAAGTGACAAAGGACTGGTGCATTTTAACCAAGGTATGTTTTTAATGATTAAAAACTAAAAAATATTAGGTTTAAGGAACTGATTGCATTAAGTGCCTGAAAAATAAGTCAAAGGAAAAAAAATTTTTTTGAAAGGATTTAAGTATATATTAATTAATTAGTATAAATTCGTCATTTAAAATTCTTGCTCTATTTTAAAGTAAGTGTTTCAGTTCTGAAATTGAATATAAGTTTCTGATAAATGAATCAATTAGAGCCCTTAAATTTTCCCTTATTCATAAAATCAAAAGACCACCATGTCAATTAATAATAGAAGAGAGAATTAAATGTGACATTACCATAAAAGTGTTTTATCCCCTAAGAAAGGAAATTAACTTCCTCCCAATATTTTTATATCAATAGATTCAGGTTAAATGTCATCTAACCAAATTTTAGTTTTAAGAGATGCCTGTCCAGAGATACCCCAAGAAGGGATAAATACATAGCAAATACAGGGGAAGTGGAATCCAGCACTGGCTTTGCCTTGACATTAGTATGGTGTGCTTTCTGGATGGATTTATATGAGCCAGGGGTGGGAAGTGCCTTCCAGGTTAACACCAACCCAGCCCTTTATTCTCCAGAGCTGCCACCTCTTGTCATTTCTGTCCCCAGTCTCTGCTGTTCGGGCTCCTTCAGAGCTGGTTTGTGTCACAATCATAGCTTCCTTTCACCTAAAGCTACCGGTTTACTCATTGAGAATTTATTTTCTGGATAGTTGTGATAACTTATGTTCTTAAGGTTGTCAATTCTCCTTTGCAATCAGGAAATTTAAGTGGTGGTGCCGAATTAGATTCTTTTCATTAGAACACAGGGTGATGGGCTAAATCATATAGTCTCACTTATATTTTGGGTTATTAATATAACCCTAAATTTTGAAAAATGTGTCAAATATACAAAGAACATGTATGAGTGACCCATGGACATGGACAACAGAGTGGGAATTGACTGTGGGAGCGGGGAGAGAAGGTACAGGGGTAAAAATGGAGACAACTGTAATAGAATAAACATGACTTATAAATTTGAAAAAATAATAAAAAAGTTAAAAAAGAAAAAAGAAAAATGTATCAAGTATAAACTTAAAAGAGAGGTTGATATTATTGGAGTCTCACATATGCTTTTAGTATCTTAATTACCTTTATTCCCATGATGACCTAAATGGAATTTTAACACACAATTTTGGGTCTTCCCTTGAAACCAGGAAGCTTTATATATCTTATTGTTTAGAACATCTCTTATTTGAAGACATCCCAAGCATTATAACACATAATTAAATTGTCTTCCACTCATTAAAATGATCTCTTTTTTATTTTTACTATTTTATGAGCTTTTTAAGTATTTACAAAGCAAAGACTATAGAAAGTATGGTGTTCTTAAAAGGAAATTTAATTTAATTTTGAGAAAATGTTAACTTATTTATGGATAATTATAGTCTTTTATGTTAGAAATCAGAAATTTAACAACTGAATATGCCTACATTACTGGAATTACTTATGTCACTGTCATGACTTTGATTTTGGATGTTTAATTTATAAAAGCAATATTCACATGCAATATGGTTTTCTGCCTTCAAATGTGTTGACGTCTGCCCATAATTAGCAATCCAATTTGAAAAAGGGAAAGATGAGTTAAAGAATCTTCACTTAATCAAGAGTTCTTATGCTCATTCATTCCTTCTTTTTAAAGCTTTGTTTTCTTACTGGTTAGGAATATTTTAATAGACTTTCTTTGATTAGATTTGCCTGGTCTTATAAGTATCACTGATTTAAAAAATGAACATCTGTAGGCCTGACCGGTGTGGCTCAGTTGGTTGAACATCATCCTGCAAAGCAAATGTTGCTGGTTGGATTCCCATCAGGGCACATGCCTGGATGGAAGGTTGGTCCCTGGTCAGGACTTGTATAAGAGGCAACTAGTCAATGTTTCTCTATCACACTGATGTTTCTCTCTCTCTCATCCTTCCTCCCTTCCCTTCTTTGTAAAAATAAATAAATAAAATCCTTAAAAATAAAATAAAAATGAACATCTGTAGAAGAGTTTCTAAGTAGTTGTACATTTTTCTATAAGAAAAAGCTATAGATATAGGAAAAAGATTATTTAAATACATTCATACCTGACATTTCTCTAGACTTCATTTAAATCACTAAAGCCTCAATTCTGGGCTCATTGCATTGTAAATTAATTTATTTCTAAGACTATATTTATGTACTCGTTTGTTTTATAGCTCAGTTGTACACTCTTAAAGATAACATCTTTAACTTAGTTGAATGATACTCATTTTGCCTTTCATTTACCCAGTGCTGCTGCTGAAGCCGATGGCATTGATCCATTAATAAACCTCCTGTCCAGTAAACGAGAAGGAGCCATTGCCAACGCTGCCACTGTGCTGACGAACATGGCAACGCAGGCGGCCGTGCGAGAGAACATTCAGAGCCGTGACGTCATGCACGCGCTCATCAGCCCATTGCGGTCTGCAAACATGGTCGTGCAGAGCAAAGCTGCTCTCACCATCGCTGCGACTGCGTGTGATGTTGAGGCCCGGACAGAGGTGAGAGTTTTCAAAAACATTTGCTCTCTTTCTTCTGGTTCATACTTATGGGTGGATTAACTTGAAACATTTTCAAGTGTTTGAATAGATCCATTATTTAAGTCTTTCAAAATTGATGTAATGCTTCAGGAAACAAAAGGACATTACCCAAATAAGAAGGTGAGCATAACTTGTAAACCAGCAATTCTGTTTCTAAGTATATATTCCTAGCTAGTCTCTTGCCTCTATGCTCCAGGAAGCATTGTTTATAATATCTAAATAACTGGAAACAAACCAGTTGTCCAACTGTTAGTAGAATGGATAAATAAATTATGGTATATTCATAAAATGTGACCTCATGTCAGTAAAAATGAATGAACTATTGCTACAGACGTCAGCAGAGATGAATCTCAACAAGCTTAACGCTGAGCAAAATCCAAGTGTGAAGAATGCATCTTATAATTCCATTTATATGCCATTCAGAAATATGGAAAACTAAGAAATATGTTGTTTAGACGTACATACATACATATAAGTTAGCACTATAAAGAAAGGTGAGAGAATGATTAACCCCAAGTTCAAGAAAGTGGTTTCCTCTCGGGGGATTAAGGGTGTGGATGTGATTCAGAGGAGCACGCGGGACTCACGGTGACTGAAATGTGCCGTTTCTTAAGCTGGTGGTAAGCAAACAGGTGGGCCTTTTCCTGTGATTCTTGAAATTGTGCAGATGGGTTACACATACCTTTTGTTCCTCATATTGCAAAATTTTAAAAGATAGAATCGCATTTTTTACAAGTCCCTCACATAAAATTGTGTTTGGTACTTGTGGTGGGTCCCATTAAATCTTCAGCAAGATTTAATATTACCCTACAAGCCTCTCTTTATCTCTTGCTTTTCTTATATTCATTTGTCACCATGGCGCTCATTCAAGCAGCCTAGCACTTTGTCCCTCTCTCCTCAATGTAAGTGACAATAGCTAGCATTTATTGGGCACTTACTATGTTCCAAGTACTGTACTAAGCACTTTATATTCATTTAAGCCCCACTTGAAATAGGTATGTTTGTAATAGGTATGTTTTCCATATGAGGATGGTGAGGCTTAATGAAATACTGTGCTCCAGGCTCAGGCGGTGTTAGGTCAAGTCCAGAGTCCACGCTCTCACACAGTGCTAGCTGCTCAGGTCCCATGTCTTTCTGGTTCTGTCCCTCAGGTTTCTATTCAGTCCCCCTTCTTTGTGCCCATTAACTCAGTTCATTTGTATTCATCCATTAAAGTAGGAAGTTAGTGACCAAATATTGTTTTCCAGCAACTCTGTGCCAGACTCCATGCTAGGGATGGGGAACACAGTGATAAGCAAAAGTGTCTTGGCTGTACCTCTGTGCAGCTTGCAGAGTGGACCATCTATTTGCTGGAACATTGCAGCTGACCCCTGAATGATCTCCCTACCCCTGCCACCTCCCGCTCCCCGCACTGCCTCCAGACTGACCTTTCAAATATGTGACCTCTTCACGTTACGGCAGGTGCCCGGTGGTGCACCATCGCCCCATGGTAAAAGGCGAGCAGCTTAGAGTGACATGCAAGGCCCTCAGTGATGCGCACCTGCCTCCCTGAAGTCTCTTCCAAGTGGAGCTCTGTACTCCAGAAATCCACACTATTTGTAATTCTGCCAGTATGCTCTGTTCTCTTATTTATAGCTCCTTGCTTCCTCTGCTTGGGAAGCTAGTTTCACTTTTGTCAGCCCAGTAAACCCCTGTTTTCTCTTTCAGAACCCAGCTCAGCCATCCTCTTTTATGAGACCTTTCTCCAGCCCTCAAACTTGGGTGCTTCTTCTTCCGCGCTCCCATTGCACCCTGTGTGGGCTTCCCTGGTCCTCTGTGTTACACTGCATGGTTCTCGTGTGAAGGATTACAATGAGCTCCTTTAGGGAAGGGAACTGAGGGTTTTCTTTCTCGTGTTCATGCCATTAATGCACACCCGGCACACAGTGCATGCTGAGTAAACAGTTGTTAAATAAATGAGTAAATTAAATGAATGAATGAATGGAGGAACGAAAGAATGAGTGGAGGGATTAATAAATAATTACATCTTTGCCCAAAGGACACATGGAGTTAGATTACTATTTATCTTATGTTATGCTCACAAATAAAGACGTTCAGAAATTTGGCATGTTAAGCATGAGGAACACTTCAGGAAATGTTTCTAAGCTGCCCCAGTCCCATATGCTGACATGTAATCTCTGCCAGAGTCCCTTTGTTTGAGAAGAAAATGATTGAAAGTGGATCATATTCTGCAAGGACCCTTGTCTTCAGATGCTACACATAGAGACTAGAAGAATATTCTCTTTGTTCTCCAGGCTCAGACACTAGAGTATTGCATTTCAGACAGTGAAACAATAGCTCTGTCAAGTCTTTTTTTCCTGACTGGAATAATTGTATACACAAGTAATTTCTTTTCATAATGTAATTAATGTTAATTCTGCCAAATTCTCTTACTATTTTTTTTTCTCTTTTATACTTTTTGGAGAAATGAAGAAAAAACACTGCAGGGGTAACAGAAGTGGGCCTCTGCCTAGGGCGCCGCCTCAGCACTGCCGTGGCCCCACGCGGATTTGGGGGCTGTGTCCACGCGCTGGGTGGCCTGCAGCGGCGCCTCCTGCCCGGCCACGAGGGCTGCGTCAGCTTCCTTTTGCTGCCATCACAGAGGGCCACAGCTTTGTGCCTTAAAACAATACAGACCCACTGTCTCACAGTTTGGGAGGTCAGAAATCTGAAAATGGGCTAAAATCAAGGTGCCGGCAGAAATATATTCTTGCTGCCATCACAGAGGGCCACAGCTTTGTGCCTTAAAACAATACAGAGCCACTGTCTCACAGTTTGGGAGGTCAGAAATCTGAAAATGGGCTAAAATCAAGGTGCCGGCAGAAATATATTCTTGCTGCCATCACAGAGGGCCACAGCTTTGTGCCTTAAAACAATACAGAGCCACTGTCTCACAGTTTGGGAGGGCAGAAATCTGAAAATGGGCTAAAATCAAGGTGCCGGAGACTGCAGGGGGAAACCCAGTTCCGGCCCGTTTTAGCTTTACCGGCACCGGCGTGCCTCGGCGGTGGCCCCTTCCTCCAACCCTCCAACCTCTGCTTCCATGCGTCTCCTCGTCCTGCCCCTGGCACTCTCGTCTCCCTCTTGTAAGTACCCACCCTTACGATTACACGGGGTCCGCCCGGTAACCCTGGACAGTCGTCCCATCTCAACTCCTTAACTCCATCGCATTGGCAGAATCTCTCCCAGGAACAAGGGCATCTTGGGAGAACCATTCTTCTGTCCGCCTCAGGGCCAAATGGGCGCTCAGTGTTGAGGAGCCCCGTGCATAACGGCAGGGCATCCCCCCGGGGGCAGTGAGAAGGTGGCTCTCTCCCCAGTCCTGCCCTGTGCGGAGTCACCATGAGCTCCCTGAGTTACCTCAGTGCGGCTGCTTCCCGACTTTGAGCAGAAAATTGGGCTTCGGTATGTAGGGGTTTGTGATTGACTTTTTTCCCTCCTGAATTTAATAAATCTCAATATGGACACATCCTAAAATGTTTTAACATAGCTTTAAACCTTTACAACCTTTAAAACGATCGAATAATGAGATTTTTTTTTTAACAGATATACTGCTTATATACAGGACTCCTAATGCATAAAGTGTTGGTTTCTACTTTTAGTTAAGAAACTCGGGTGCACTGGAGCCCCTCATAGAGCTCCTGCGCTCCAAGAATGACGAGGTCCGAAGGCACGCCAGCTGGGCTGTGATGGTCTGCGCCAGCGACGAGCTGACGGCCGCGGAGCTGTGCAGGTTCGGGTGAGTGGAGCTGTCTCAAGTTTCTGGCTCCGATGAAGAGCCGGAGATGGAGAAACACACTTTTCAGGCCCAAGGAAGGTCAAGCAGCGTCTATGCTCCCCTTCTCAGGTCTGCGGAATGCTCAAGGGCGCTGCCTGTCACAGCGAGAGCCTTACCTCTGAAGGGACTGCCTGGTGGAAGGCGGGCCCTTCCTTCATCCTCCTCACCTTGAGATCTCCCTCATCACCTTTACAAAATCATCTTCAACAGTTCCTTTTTCACCTTTTCATCTTGAGAAATGCTTCTCTTTCATTTTTCTCAACTGTTGTAACACAATCCTGTTTGGCTCTCAACTTTCAAAGCTACAATAAAACGGGTGAGCCCTGACAACCATCTCCATTTTTCACCCTCCCCAACCCAAATCTCTTCATCAGAATTCCTCATTGAGCTAACCTCGCTAGATCAGTTCTTCTTATCAATAGCAGATGAGTTCGTTGCCTTTAGCATATCAGCAAATACAGTTTTTAGGTTTTAGACAGGTTCACCCTTTTTCTAACATTTTTATTCTTTGTGTTCATCACTGGCTTAGTTGCAAAAGTTGGAGTTCTGTACTAATTTTGCTTTAAATGAAGAGACTTTTTTCTAAACATGTCCTTTTTAACTCTTTGAATATGAGTTACTACAAGGCATATGTGTTCTCAGGAGTGATTTGCCTTCCTAACTCTGTCAGTATTACTTTATCAAGGGTGGGAGGACTTTAACTATTCCGTCTCATTCAGGAACTTAACTAGGTTGATGATGGATGAGTACTTGATGTTGGATTGCTTATATGAAACAAATAATGCCTTTTGCTTTTATTGACAGGGCTTTAGATATCCTTGAAGAAATTAATCTGTCAGTAAGTCGAAAAAATAAATTCAGTGAGGTAGCTTGTAAGAAATTGCTCAACTACAACCTGCCTCTGAAATACAGCCGAACTGGCTACTTGTCATCAGGTGACATAATTACTGACGGATTCTATGATTATGGTCGGGTAAGTGGGAGCACTAATTAATATTTCACTATGTGTGATAATAATTTCTTCTTTAATCATGATGCTTTTACACTGAAATTTTATAACTGCCTAACAATTTATATTTTTATAGACAGAAACTTGGGAATCAGAATTTCATCCTTAATTTTGGCTGTAAGATTTCACCTTTGTATATACTTTTAACTGAATCTGATTATTTTTACTTAAATCAGCTTGCTGAGCTAGTTCAAGTTTCAGAGAAGATATGAAAGAAACAGCATTTCAGTTTGGAGTTCTGTTACTTCCAGGGCTCAGTGTTAGTGATAGGACAGAAGTATAAGTTTTTCATTTTAAAATTCTAATCTAATTGAAATTTATCAAATTGTAATACTGGATTTAAAAATACATTGTAGAAGAATATTGTTTTACTTTACTGCATTTCTGATTATGATTTTTTAAAACAACATATAGTGCAATTCAGCGTTAATGTTGAGAGAAATGGGAAGCTAAGAATTAGAATCTGGAGGACTTTTTGACATTGCTGCTTAAGCCAGCATTTTCTACTTCATTTGGAAACTAAAAGCAGTAAGAGTGGGCAAAACTTAAAAAGCCACAAATACCATTTTAGGCAAAACTAGGAAACATATATGATACACATAGACTTCAAAAAAATTTAAGAGTTGCTAAAAGTGCCTGAGATCAGGCAGAAGGTGCTGGAAAAGAATATGAAGGGAAAAAAAAAGAAAAAGCACACAAGAGTTAGTGGTGGCAGATCTCAGAAAACACCGTCTCTATATATGTATTTCCTGAGGTGCTAGGAGAACTCAGAAGCACAAAAGTGAAACTTGCAGGCAGGTGCAGGGCCTCAGGAGCAGGCAGGTGCAGGGCCTCAGGAGCACGGCTGGCAGCAGAAACCCTTAGTGCAATTTGGTTCAAAAGAGCAAAGGAGACAGAGCTACAAAAAAAAAAGAGTCCCATAGCTAAGCCGTATTTGCAGGAAACACTCTCTCATGGTAACAGAATCAGAGATATTTGGGTAATGAAAAACAGCCAGCCTAAATCTTTACTCCTTCCTCCTGCTCCCCCTGCCGCCATCACCATCCTAGCCTAGGCACGGATCCCCATAAGGCATGTGCATGCAGACCCCTGAGCAATCACTGCTCCTAGAGAGCGCATCTCATTAATGAGTAATTTTTAAAAACCTGGCACAACATTAGTACAAAAATGCTTTAAGAAAAATGAGGAGAAAGAGCAGAGAAACCAACACTGAACACATCATACATATGTTGTCATGGATCAGAAAATGGCAGTGAAATGTATTTGTCCAGGAGCTTTTTTAAAAATTAAGGAGACCATATACTTATAAAGGAGAATTCTCTGATTCATTCATTCAGTAAATATTAGGTTTCTAGTACCATAGGCTTTGAATATGTCAATGAACAGAAGAGACAATGATCTCTACTCCCATGGCAATAAATATCACAACTAAATAAATTACATCACGTATTGAAATAAGAGCAACAGAGGAGAGGAAAGGTGAGCAGGGGCAGGATAAGGGGGCTCTGCAGTGCTGAGGAGTATGGAGGCTGATGGTTGCCATTTTTAAAATTGTGATCAGAGAGACCTTACTGAACAGTAATACCTGAGCAAATACTTGCAGAAGGTGTGGGCCTCAGCCATGGAGATATCTAGGGGAAGAGTTTTCTAAGCAGAGGAAACTAGTGCAGAAGCCACATGATGTAAATAGGCTTGGCATATTTAAGAAACAGCAAAGTCGGTGTAGCTAGAGGCAACTGAACCAAGGGGCAGAATAGTGGAGACTAAATCAGAGAGGTAAAGAAAGATCATGCAAGTCTTATAGACCGTCAGAAGGATTTTGCCCTTTGCTCTGAATGTAGCAGGAAACCTTGGCAGGTTTTGGGCAGAAGAATGACATGATTGTCTTTCTATTTTATTATTTTTTTATCATAGCTTATTTTTTATCTTATTTTTTTTATCCTCACACGAAGACATGTTTATTGATTTTTTTAGAGAGTGGGGAAGGGAGGGAGAGAGAGTGGGAGGGAAACACTGATGAGAGAGAGAAACAGATGCAAGAGAGAAACACTGATGCATCCCACCTGGAGACCAAATCCTCAGCCCAGGCATGTGCCCTGACCAGAATCCAACCTGTGACCTTCCGGTTTATGGGATGATGCCCAAACAACTGAGCCACACTGGCTAGGGGGACCATTTTAGTTTAAAAGGATCGTGACAAGATCTTGGATGAGAGAACTCTAACTATAATATTGTTGGAAAAAGACCTCAGAAGGTATAACCTTCTTCACCAGGCTAATGAAGTTGCCAGTGTAAAGCTTTGTCTAGTCTATTTTCAGATAACCTCACTACATTTTTTATAATCTGTTTAGTAATTAGTTACTCTTATAGACCATAAGTTCTCCCTAATGTATATAGATTGATAAACTCAAATATTTTCAGGGGCCAAGCTGATAATTATGGTGCGAAACAGCTGAGAATAAAGCAATAGAGATTGTAGGGAACTGGAGAGGTATATATCCTGCCCCAAAGGCAAGATGTCCACAAGCTCCAGGTTCTTATTTTTAATTGTGTATATGAAATTAGACACATCAAACAGTTGAGAACATATTCTGTCAGCATTCATATTAAAACATATAACACAGGCAAATATTACTTTTCAATCTTTAAATTATCTGCAGATAAATCCTGGCACCAGATTTCAGCCTTTGAAGGATCTCTTCCTAGAAGAAGCAAGTGATCTACGTACTATACTCTTAGTTAACAGTAAATCTGATGTGTGAGTCTTTGGGGGAAGGAGGGATGCAAAGAAACACACTTTTTTTTTAAATTTATCCGTTATCATGTGAACATGTAAAGATTCCCAGAATAGTACCTTTCCTTTCCCCTGTGTATCAAGCACCACTGTGAAAATAAACCCTGATCCATAAACATGTAGCTTGACGTAGTAAAGTCCATGGAATAAGCACCACCATGGTTTTTCCCTTTGACTCCATGTTCTAGTCGATTCCAGATGTATTTCAGCAGCCATGGTTTCTTACTCTTCTGGTAACCTAAAGTAATTGAAGAAAGTATAAACAGATAAGAGCAAACCAAGATGAATTATATTTACAGCTTTCCAGGACTGTATGCAGGCATCCAACCACTGCACAATGTTTTTTGTTTTTGTATTTTTTACATATATAATAAAGAGTAAATAGAGCTAAAAAACTAAAGCTTCAACATTCTATAAATGGTCACATAGATTTATATATTTATATAATACATTTTATGTGACACATTTTATAAAACTATTTCTTATTCTAGCTCACTGAAAGCTTTATAATATTTCTTGTCTTATCATAACCTCTCTTTATGCTTTTAAATTAATAAGTCACTGTTAAAATCAGCTCTAAATATGATTTTCAGAAAAAAAAACTGTTTTGTAGGACAAAGCCAATATTGATGAGTAAATTATTTTAATTTGTTCATAATTTCATATATGTAAAATTATAGTTCTCCACCTCCATCTACAGAAGATAAATCCTCAGACATTGGTTATGGGCACATTGCTTCATCTTCTTTAAGGAGAACAAGTGAAGAAAAGACTAGGTAAGAAAATGATCTTTCATCTATACTCAAATAATTTTCCTCTCAATTTGGGGGTCAAAGAAATTTAGATTTTAGATTTTGGTGACCATTCTTAGATCCTTCTTATAGTAATATAATTAGGAATCAAAGCATATAAAAAAGTGAAAATGCCTTACAAAGTATTAAATGCCTTGCGAATGGATTGTTATTTTCCTTGTGATTGAAATTGGTTGTGGTTCTTTTCAAATGACAAGGAAAAATAGTGCTCGATTTGGATCTCCCACAGAAGAGAAATCAGAGCCTACTTCTGGACGAAACACTGCTGTTGGCAAAAGTGCCACTAAAGAAAAAGGATCAAGGTAAGAAATGTGGTATTTATTCTTCTTATAACTGTCATAGGTCAAGTTTTAATTACCCAACAAAGCTGGTGAAAGGGAGGGGTGGCTTTTAAGTGGGAAGCTTTTCTTATGGAATCAGTATGTTGAACTAAGCAAGACTCATGAAATGTAATTAAAATTAACATTAGTTTTGTCTCTTGCTGTCTCTGAATCTTACCCAGAGGGTGAGAGCTGCCTCTGGGTGTGAACTCAGGTCACTTTGATGATATAAAGTCTAACAGTCACTTTAATTAAAAAATGATAATGGAAACAGTCTCTAATCAGCTATTGAAAAGTCCAGCCTTGTGTAGTAATCAACTTAAAATGGACTCTCTGCTCTCCTGCAGCAGCTGCCTGCGCAGGTGCTGAGCTGCGTGGGCTGGAGTGCGGTCCTCTCTCTCCCCACTTTCTGCATCCACGCCCATCCCATCTCGCTCACTGAAACCTCCGACCCTTCAGGTTCAGGTAGCTGCAAGAGGGCGACAAGTGAAACAGGATCAACTTCTTATTTGGATGAAACATTTATAATATAGTTTTGTGCCTTTTAAGCCTAGCAAATTTAAAACATACTTTCTACTTGTTTACCTTGTTTTCAAGTATATTATTCCTCTTGTGAGCACTCTCCCAGCCTCTTCAAAAGTTCATCTGGACCTTCTGCCACACTCCATGACCCTTTAACTATTGTCAACTTAAGCCCCTCAGAACCACTGTGGTATTGCATTCTATTTGGCACTGATATCGAGCTTAGACCTTCTAAATTAAGACTGCCCCAAAGGTCCGTAAGGGTGTGAGCAGCGGTTTATTTTCAATTTCTGACTTTATTTTCTACTGTCAATCTCTGTCGCTCATTATAAGGGTCTCTGCTTCTAATCTGCTGCTGTTGTTCCAACCCTGTTTGCCCTCCCTCCCCTTCTCCCCTTCATGCAGCCTCTCTGCTTCTCCCCTACTGGACAGAGAATTCCTTGAGGACAAAAACATGTTCTGATTTGAGTAATTTCCCTTTTCATCATCAAGATTTAACACATTGCTTAGTTGGCATATGTAGGCATTCACATTGTTCAAGATAGAAATCTGAACTTTTTCCAAGAAATGGTTATTTTTGACAAGGCCCGTGCTTATAAATTATGCGTCTGGAGCAAATAAGTTGTCTTCTCCTTGCCTGAGTTCCCTCATCAGTAAAATGGAAAAAGTAAAAACTAAGCATCTACTAGGTTCCAGGAATTGTTCTAATGTGGGAAACATAGCAGTGAACAAAAGCTTCCCCCTTTATAGAACTTATATCCTAGGGGAAAACCAGACAACAAACAAAATAAACTACATGCCACCCACATACACATGCACGTGCATGCGCATAACATGTATCCTCCTCAGCACAGAATAAATCATATCTTATTTTGATACAATACTCCTTGTCATTCTGTTGGAACAGATGGGATGGAAATAGGACACTGAATGGAATAGGTTTCATTTGACATCGAACTCCCTGAATTTCTTATTTTTATCATTCAAGCGGAATTCATTGAATGGAATTTGGCATTGTGATTATTTTTGATGCACCAAAATCTTCCTACCTAAATTAAAACTCCAGTGGGTTGGATTTAGTACTTAAATTTCTCCCTCCAGCTTTGTCCTATAGTTTCTACATTCAATTTGTTAATGATATCAAAAAGGAGCAAGTGATTAAACTTTGAAAATGTCAGTACACAATTTGGGGCCAGACAAATCTCTCTCTCTACTTACCTACCTACGTCCTCATTCCCCTATGAAAATAGAAAATATTCTTATTGTTTTGGATCCACACAGTAATCTGCTTTCTGAGGCAGCTTTGCTAATGTTCCTGCAAGAAAGGTAGTTCTGCTATCTTTAATCATGATTGATGTTCTTTCTGAGGATTAATTTTATAAGAGTTAATTTTATAATGTCCAAGTGCTTGTTTCCATGTCTAGAAATGAAATTCACGTGAGCATCGAAGCCCTTATTAATACAAATTGGCAGCCTTCATGGGAAAGAAGTTCAAATGAAATACTTCTATTTATAACAGCAGAACAGTACCATTTAGGTGTTCCAGTAAATTATCTACTTTTTAATTATTAATAGTTCATTTTTATTGTGTTTTTTCCCATTACTATTTATGCCCCCATACACTCTTCTACCTTCACCCACCCAGCAATCACCACACTGTTGTGTGTGTCCATGAGTTCTTTTTTATTGCTTGATCCCTCCACCATCCTCAATCACCCCCAAGCTGTCAGTCTGCTCTCCATCTATGAGTCTGTCTCTATTTCACTTGCTATTTTTAATCACTCAATAAGATGGTCCTCCTCGGTGAGCTTAGCTGGTGTATTGGATAGCATCTTCTATACGCCAAATTATTTTTCTTACTTCACGCAGCACAGTCAGTGGGAAATATAGCTCTTTGTTTTACAGGTGGCTCTAAGTAATCACAGAATCGAGTTTTCCAATCTTAAAAAACTTATAATTTTATAATTCCTGTAATTTTAGAAAGCAGTTAAACCTTTCTATACTTTCTACAATTCTAATTGACCATCCTAGTAGTATTGGTTCCTAATTTATAAAAATCTTACTATGTATGTGAACATGTTCAGTTTGTCTCTTTTACAGAAAAAGGAAAGGGTTAAGATGATACAGCTGGGAAATATTAATTTTTGCTTAGAGATTTTATATTACCTTGTATCTTAGATTCATACAATCCAATGATTTTATTAAGGCTCCCCCAGTTTTACTTCCAACATGTGTGTGTATTTAGTTCTATATAGTTTTATCACATCTGTAAATTCATGTGTCTATGACTACAATTAAGATAATGAACAGTTCTATCACCACCAGAATCTTTTGTGTCTAATTCCTTCAGCACCACTGTTGAAAAGGCTACACTTCTTCCATTGAACTGCTTTGGTACCTTTGTCAAAAACCAGTCGAGCATATTCATGAGTCTCATGCTAGGTCCTCTGTTCTGTTGCATTAATCTGTGTTTCTGTCTCTCCACTAGTGTCTCTTTGGCTGGATTTCTGTAGCTGTAGAGTAAGCTTTGACATCGAGTAGGGAGATTCTTTCCACTGTATTCTTCTTTGTTAAGATTGACTTAGCTGTTCTAGGGCCTGTGCTTTCCCATATAAATTTTAGAGCAAGATTTTTTTTTTATGTCTACAAAAAGACTCTGAATTTTGATAGGAAGCTACATGAAACCGAGAGATCATTTTGGGGAGAAAGTACATCATTAGTAGGTTGCATCTTTAAATCTATGAACACAGTACATATTATCACTTATTTTGGTCTTCTTTGATTGCTTTCAACAGCATTTTTAATATTTAGTAGACAGATTCTTTACATATTTTGTGAAGTTTATACTTAAGTATCTAACTTTCTTAGACCAACTGTGTTTCCAAACTTTTTTCATTTTCACATGTTTGTTGTTACTATATAGAAACACAATTGATTTTTGTATATTGCTCTTATATCTTGAAATCTTGATAAACTCACATGTTAGTTCTGGAGGTTTCTTCTTTCTTTTTTCATTTTTTGGTAGAGTCCTTAAGATTTTCTACAGACAATCATGTCATCTGCTTTGCTTTTAGGTTTTTTTTTTCTCTTTTAATCCTCACCTGAGGATATGCTCATTGATTCCAGAGAGAGAGGAATGGGGAGAGAAACATAGATGTAAGAGAAACATTAATTGGCTGTATCCCATATGTGCCTCAACTGGGACCAAACCCACAATCCAGGACTACACTCCAACCAACTGAGCCACACCAGCCAGAGACGGCTTTAGGTTTTGATTATTTTTGATGTGTCAGGGGTGAAATTCTTCAGGTTTATTTTATTGATATTTACTAAAATTCTTTAACCAAATTGAGGAAGCCATCTCAATCCTAATGATTCATTTTTTTCTGTACTTCATCTTTCTCCTCTTCTTATGGGAATTTCATGACAACAATATTAGATCTCTGTTTGTTGCACAACAAGTCCCTGAGACTCCATCGGTTGTTTTTTCAATCTTTGTTCTTTGTGTTGTTCAGACTGGATAATTTATATTCATCTATCTTTGAGTTTATGGATCCTTCTGTTATCTCTATTCTCTTAAATACATTCAAAAAATTATATTTTTCTAAGTTTTGGTATTGTGTTTTCAGCTCCAAAATTCTATTTCATATCCCCCATTTCTTTCTAAGACATTCTAACTCTACTTATTTCAAGAGCATTTGTTACTAATTGCAGCATTTTACATCTGCATCATCTGGGCATTGATGTCTATTGATTGTCTTTTCTCATGAGTTGAGGTTTTCCTTTTTTTTTTTTTTGTATGCTGAGTAATTAGATTGTAGTATGTTATAAGTCCTACTGTTCTTATTTATAGGTCTTGTATACATTCTAAGAAGAATGTTCTGTGGTGTGTGCATGTGTTTTACCAGGTAATTGACCCAGGTGTTTTTGGTCTTCAGATTCCAGCCAGTGTTCTGTGAGTTGTCATTCCACTGTCAGTCTCATTTTCAAAGGCTTTGCAGTGCCATTTGAATCAGCCCTACATGTATGCCCACTAGTACCCTGTTTGGGACTTGGAGGATGACCTCTTCCATAGGTCAATCCTCAAAACCTGTCTAGGTCCCTTTTTGTGTCAGAACCATGTACACACAGCTTGGGAGTAAGCCTAGAAAGCCATAAACAAATTTTTAGGGTTGCTTTCCTGAGCTTCTTCCTCTCCCTGATCTTCTTTGCCTCTTCTGGTTCATGGGGGCTTCCCTCTTAGTCCTCAAGCCAAAATCTTTGTTTATCCTGCCCTGACACACGTTTGCCATGACTGCATCCATATCTACAGCCAAACAGCAGGAGGACTGAGTGACTATAAGGCAGTTTTAGGCTCTTAGGGACTCCAGTGACACCACTGCCACCATTGTCACAGGATTCCTTCAAGGCTGGAGCACAAGAGAGTGAAGAAAAATGAGAAAACAACCAGGGCTTTTCTCCACTCTCTCTCTTCCCTGTTTCTCAAACAGGCTTCTCCTTGCGCTTTCACTGTCTGTGCTGATGCCCGCTTTTAGATTTGGGGTTATGTTAAGTTCAGCTTGTAGAATAGTAGGGAAAAATAAAAAAGTTAAACTCACCAACAGTTCAGTAGTAATTCAATGTCTTCTCTGATCTTTCTGCTACTTACTGCTTTTGAGAGTCTTGAAATAGCTATTGAGTATATTCTGCCCAGGTTTTATGACTGTATTCAGTGGGAGAGACAAAGTAAAGTGTGCTTATTCCACATTACCTTGCAAAAGAACCCACGTCATTGTTTTTGTTCAACTCATTAATTAGAGACAATAAGATGTTCAATACTGGCTCAAAGAACATTTGAAAAGCTAGGTATTTAATTAAGAAATGTTAGAAAAGGATTGCCAAGTTACATAAAAAAACCATCCTGTAGGATATTAACCATCCTCTAGAGTAATAAACTGTAATCTTTGGAAGTACATTTTCCACTGGACAGGAATAGTTTGCATCTTTACTAAACAAAAATCTGTATGATAACTGAGTTACTTAGAATAACTTCTCTAAGTCAGGAATTTTTAATTAATAGAATATTTTAATTAAACAATATCTTTAATCTTTATTAAGTACATTCCATTTTTCCCAAGTACAGAACTGAGTACATTTCACTGGGGTGGATGGAGGTGCAAGTGGGCAGATGGGGGATAAATGGGGACGGAAGAGACATCAGGCAATAGCCATAGGGTGCAGTGTTCAGGTGATGGTTGGCTGAGTTGTACACTTGAAACCTGTATGGTTTTATTAACCAATAAATTTATTTAATAAATAAATTTAAACAAATAAATTTAATAGTAGAAAGAACTAAGTATACTTCCCTAGATGAACTTCTGTGAGCCTTTGCCCCTGCATAATGTGAAATCCCTGCCACCTCTGTTTTGTTGTGATGTGCTTTTTTCTATGTTTTGGATAATTTTTCTTAAAAATTGTGATACAAATTCTTCCTTCAGAAAGTGTCAACTGAAACAAGAGATGATATGAAACCAGCATAGACTTCCTATTTTTTCCCAATTTCATAAGTATTTATTACACATTTATGATGGGCCAGTCATCTTGCTACACAATTGTGCAGAAAACCAATAGATCCTTTTCATGATGTATTTCAATCCTGTAGTGTTCTCTTGAAAATTAATTTCTACTACAAAGCATAGGAACTCTAAAACTGTATCATTGTCCCGGAAAATTTGACAACTATGTAGTATGGTTGTTGAGGTATAAACACTGTTTTTCTGGGATGTTCTTCAGATTAACTCAGAGCACAGTGAGTGCTTATTTATTTTGATTGCTATTGTTTACTCTTAAAGGAAAGGCAAAGGAAAGAAAGAGGAGGAAAAATTGGAGGAGGAGGAAGAGGTTACAGTAGTACCAAAATGGGTTGGAGAAGGATGCTCCGAGAAAGAATGGTCATGTCCGTTTGATCCTGATTTCTGTGTTTACGTGTTTGAAGTAATCAAATCAATACACCCCATAGCAAATACAAGGGAACAGGTTGAAGCTCTTGCAAAGTAAGTTGTCTATATACACATATCCATTTTTAATTCCTGAAAAATGTTTTTTTTTATTTTAGTGGTTTGCATTTTTAGCCAATTTTCAGACTATACCATAATAAAATTGAGCTTTAGTGCTCCCTACATCTGACTCTGAAGCAGAAACACAATGAATTGAAAAAAATTTCTCAATTTCTATTTTGGATCAGATTTCTGCCAATAATGAGTACTAGAAGTTAAAAACTGCTTAAAGAAAAATGCCTATGTATATGCCAACTATGCTTTACTTAAATAAATAAATTTAAAAAACAGGCAAAAATGCCTGTCATTTTCTCCTACTAAACCATGAAAAGCATCTTTCAATATGATCCTGAAGAAGTCATGAATGAACCAAAAGTTTGAAAATTAAATCATTCCTTGGGTATGTGGAGTGCTCAAAATTGAAAGAAATTCTATTGTGAATTAAAGTTTGAAAATTAAATCATTCCATTCTATTGTGGAGTGCTCACAATTGAAAGAAATTCTATTGTGAATTATTTGTAAACTCACAAGTTGTTCATTAATACAAATAACCATGCCCCATTTTTATATGTCTCACATTGCTCTGAAGTGGGAGTGTGAGTATTCTAAAATGCTTGGGCAGGCTCAGAGTGTTTAATCTGATCCCACTAGAGAAGCTGAGAACTTAACTTGGTAGCTATAAGGGAAGAAGAGTCACTAGAAACGGAGGATGCCTTCTTGACTGACACCAACCAATAGGTGAGCTACTGGATTGTGCAACAGCTGCGGTCTCCATGGGATCTACTCCAAACAGAAGTGAGCTGCAGTCATCAAACCTGGATGTGACAACTGCAAAAAGCCCAGCCACCAGACTTCTTATCAGGCAGAACTGGAGGAGAACATTTTTGGCTACCAAAGGTTTCCTCATGTCCTTGAGAAGTTATGACTTAAGCAGAACTCTGATTTAGTTCATTTCAACATTTGTCAAATTTCCTCATGTTCTGTTCCTATCAGAAATACATTTCATCATTCCCAAATAATTGTTCTTTAACCTGAGCCTACAGAAAGATAGAGACACAGATTTGCCCCCATGCTTTCAGTTGCCAGCCTTCCTTCTAGCACACCTGGCCAATAGACTGTGGGTCAGGTCAGTAGATTTCTCCTCAGCTCATTCTCTTTTTTTCACCATTGTTTTTTGCTCTATTCCACATACAACAAGGAGAAATTCTTGCTTTAAAATATGCAATTCTGCCTTTACTCTAGGATGCAGTAGGCTTAGTCTACAGAGGATTTTTGCAGGTGCATTTACTGATTTCTTCAGGGAGAGCCTACAATTAGGAGAAATCTGCAGGCGAAGTGTACCACAGCCATCTTGCCTCCTCACCTGCTTCTGATTTTTCTTTTTTGTTTCTTCCTCTCTTCTCTAACTTCAACATTACATAAATGTTATGTCTCTCACTAAATTTAAAACATAATTAAATTTAAAAGAAAAACATTATCAAACTTAAAAATGTTTGGAAATCTAATGGGAAAATTTCTATGTGTTTGTCTTGTCTCTGAGTTTAAATTTCTTTTAAAAAGGGCCATATGTTAGTAGTACAATGCCTTAGATTTCAGACAGAAACATTGACAGGTACTTTTCAAGAATAGGATAAAATCCCAAAACTCCATTGATACAAATTCAGTGATACTGATTTGTACCTTATTGGGAAAATTAACACTCATTTCTTTCCATGAGTTAAATAAAATTGTTAGAATTTCAGTTTATGTATGATATTTTGCATTCAGGAAGTCTAATGTTAACCTAGTTATAGTAAGTACAGTTTTAAAAGTAAAAAAAAAATAAAATCAGAGAGACTATAGTTTTTATAAATATAATTATACATATAGTTACACTCAAAGTGTCCAAAGTGAGATATTACACTTGATTGATTTGATCTCAATGTAATTGACACAGGTATGTGGCAGAAAAAATGGGTGGTAAAATTCCAAAAGATAAACTACAGAATTTCAACTGGCAACTTCATATAAGTGAAATAAAATTTCAACTTAAATCCAATGTTGTTCCAATTGGACAGATAAAAAAAGGAAGCTTCTATCATCGAGCTTTGCTTTTCAAGGTATTTAAGATGTTTTGCCTCATTTGTCATTAGGTAAAAATGTTTTCTCTTTATCATAATAGAGTGAGTTGGCTGTCAACTGGATGATATTACTCCTATCACTGAGATTTGAGATATATGTATGTGTATAATATGTAAACACAGAGGTACATATGTATTCACAGACTATTCAAAGCATATTCATTTAACATTTATTATACATGAACTATAGGCCAGGGAGTCTTCTAGGGTCTGGGAATATAGAGATAATAAAGTGGCAGTCTCTGTATACACGGCATACCTAAGCCAGACTTGTGGGTTCTAAGGTGATGTCAGGGAAAGTTTCAGGAGAGAAAATGATATATTAGAAGTGACATAGGATTTCAACAGGTAAGAAAAGAAGGCAAGAGTATTCTAAACAATGTTCACATTTTATGCAAAATAACAGGTATGAGTCAATGAGCCATTGGGAAATGTAGAATAGTTGTCTGGATGAAAAAAGAAGAAGGGCTGGATGAGGCTAATAGACCAGATCATAAAGCACCATGTGAGTAGCCATGGAAAGTTATGAAGGGGAAATGAATTGGCAACATTATTTTCACAGACCATTCAGGCGACAAAGTGGAATGGATTAGAGCAGGGGCGAGATCAGAGACAGGAAGACCAGTTGGAAGGTCACTGGAACAGGAAGTAGGGATGACCTGCACTGAAGCCATGGAGAGGTTGTAAAACAGGGGATGAATTTAGAGGGAGATTTAAGAGATAAAACTGAAAGGAGTTGGTGACTGCGTGGGCCTGGTGTGAGAGAAAACAGGAGGAGAACAAAATGATTTCTAAGTTCTAGGTGGGGCAGCTGGTAATAATGGCATTATTCCCTGAAGTGAGGTGCACTAGGGAAGGATCAGGTTTAAGAGATCTTTGTTTTTCTCCATTGTATCTAGTGTCTGTAATATAATAGGAGTTAAGAAAATGGTTTCTAAACTATAGACCGTATAAAATTCTTATCCTCTTCCAAATACCTATAAACCTTATTACATTCATGTGTATCTTGCCTACAGTCCTTAGCTAATTCTATTTATAATCCAGATATCAGTCTTTCCTCACTCCTCGGATTTCTTGTTCTATCAATTCTTCTCTCTTGTCTCTAATCTCTTTTGCTCTCTTAGATATTTCTCCTTTAAAACCTAAAATTAAATCTACAATATTTAAAGAGTAAATGCATTTTCTTTTCTCATGATATCCACAACCACTACTATAGCTCCTATTATCATAACCACTATCATTTTTAGGTATGTGCCAGGCACTTGATAAATATAATTGTGAAGAGTCTCAAAAATGCCAAAGGTGAAATGACTCCTTGTTTTGGAGATAAGAAAACAGATATTTGCAGAAGAAATTTACCTAAGGTCAACCAGAGGAACAACTGGAATCTGAACCCGTGCTTATCTGAATCAAAGCCTACCATAGTGCTTCTCTCTGTAGACCATTCTCATTCCTGGTCAGAACTGAGTCATCTCAACTCTGTGACCCTCCTTGGCACACCTCTCATTTTTCTTCTCAACTCACTGCAGTCTGGCTTTTGCTCCCTCTCAGTAAGGATGATAGTGATGTGTTGTCTGTGTTACTTGACATGTCAAAGAATTTGTCATTGATCATTCTGTTTCTTTGACACTTGTCCTTTCTCACTACTTCATCTCAGTCTCCTTTGGAGACCTCTTATCTTCCACAGCTCTCTTAAATGTTGGGGGCCTGTAAGACTCTGATACAGGCTATTTTCTCTTCTCCCTTTATGTACTTCACAGGGTGAGGTCATCCTCTCCTGTGGCCTTAAAGGCCACCCACTGCCTATAGCTTCCACATGCTTTCCTCTGTCCCACAAACCTCTCCTGACTCCACATTAGTGTATCTTTTCACCCATTAGCTAGATACACTTAAGTATCTCAAAGGCACCGCATTAGTCTGCTTGGGGCTTCTGTAACAAAATACCATAGACTAGGTGCCTTAAACAATAACATTCATTTCTCATAGTTCCATAGGCTAAGAAATCCAAGATCAAAATGCCAGGAGATTCAATGTCAGATGAGGATTCACTTCCTGATTTGCATCTGCCGTTTTCTTAGTGTAAAATCATTTGGCATAGAGAGAGCGAGCTCTGGTCTCTGCTTCCTCTTATAAGGGCACTAATGCCATCATGGAAACTCAACCCTCATGATCACACCTGAACCTAATTACCTTCTAAAGGCTCCACCTCCAAATACCATCACATTGGGGGTAGGGCTTCAACATGTGAATCTAGGGGGGAACCAATGTTCAGTCTATAATGTCATGCCAAACTCGCACCTCAACTGAGTTTTGCAATTAATGACCCTGGCCTGGCCTGCCCACCAATGAAATCCTAAACACTAATTTGACTCACTGATAAAGTCTCTAATCCTTTCACCCCTTCTAAATCTTTCACTCCTCTAACATATATTGTCTCTCCCATTTTCTTCCAGTTTTTGGCTCTGTTTTGGCTTCATTTATTTATTTTTTGCTTCCTTAGCAGCCTAGATGAATTGTCCACAGACCTTATAATTTGCCCACTAATTTCCCTCATTCTTTTTGCCCCTAATCTTTTTATCCCTCTGCCTGGCCAGCCCACCGGTCTGATTGCCTGTCCTTTCCACTAATGACACTCAGGCTGCAGAACGTGGCAGTGAAGACTGTCTCAGCCGATTCAGGGTGTCCATCGTGGGCGGGCTTGCTGGTAGCCTGGACACCTTTTTCCAGCTCCTAGTCACAGGCTTCTAGCTTCCTCAGCAGCTGTGCCCCACATCTGCCCTTTTTTCTAAGCCTTTCCATCTTCACCTCTTCTCTAAGCAGGTGACCTACTTTCTCCCTTCACAAAGAAAATAGAGACTTTCAGATTCATCTCAGCAGGAGGTAGCATCATTCTAAGGTTAAGAACTCAGACTCCTGAGACAGAGTCCCTGGCTCTCACATTAGGTCACCACCTACTATGACCTTGGGAGAATTACCTGACCTCAGTTTTTTCAAAAACAGGAAATGCAATAGTATTTCTTTCACAAGGTAGTTTTGATTATTTAATGTGCCTTGGCATGGAGTAAGAGATCAGTTATTTCGGAAAAGTTATTTTCGAAGAGATAATTATACAGGGGTGGGCAAAAGTAGGTTTATAGTTGTGAGTACACAAAACACAGAGTTTCTTCTTGTATTATTATTAATTAATTGTTGTATTATTTTCCATGCAAACAACTGTAAGCCTACTTTTGCAAACCCCTGTATGTTTATTTTTTTTCTCTCTACCCCCCTAGATTATGAATGTTAAAGGATTCTAGTACTAATACCAACATAGGAGGGAAGGTGTTCCACACATCAAAGCCATTTTCCAACAAAAGTTGGGTTTCTACAATTCAATTCAATTCTGACGCTATCTACTCAGAGATAGCATTAGGCTCTGCAGGGGCTCAATCTTCAGATGCCAGTCACAAACCTAGGTTATCACTTGTGCTTCTGAATGACCAGCTGTAGATTGGAGGTTCCAACAACCCTTGGGTTGGATTAATTTGCAAAAGCTGCTTGCAGAACTGAGGGAAACATTGTACCTACCAGATTACCATTTTACTATAAAAGAATGTAACTTAGCAACAGCCAGGTGGAGAGATGAGTATAGGTAAAGATATGGGGAAGGGGTGTGGAACATCCATGCTCTCCCTAGGAGGCCACTACCCCAAATCTTTACCTGTTCACCAACCCAGGAGCTCTTGAACCCTGTCCTTTCGGATTTCTGTGGAGGCTCATTACATAGACACCGGCCATTGATTGATCAAACTTTCAGCCCCTCCTCTCTCCACAGAGGCAGTGGGAGGGAGTAGGACTGAAAGTTCCAAACTTCTAATCAAGTCGTTGATTCTCCAGTCAACCAGCCCCAGCCTCAAGTGAGGTCCAAAATCACATTAGCATAACAAAAGACACCTTTATGGCTCTCATCACTTAGGAAATTTTAAGGATTTTAAGAGGCCAGAAACCCTGATAAAGACCAAAATATATTTCTTATTAGAAATCACAATATCACAGAGTGTTATACATTCAGATATATTACATTAATACATCAATATAGAGATTATTGAAACAACACAATTCCTGCCTTTTAGTACCAGGAACATGTGTTGAGTGCTCACTCAGTGCCAGCATCCACAGCTCTAGTACTTGACACGTATTAATTCACTTCATGTTTATAAACCCCCAGTGAGGAGGGTGGGTAGACTGCTGTTTTCCTCATTTCACAGATGAAGAAATGGAAGCACACAGAGGCCAACTTATTTGCATAAGGTGACAACAACTATCAAGTGGCTGAGCTGAAATTCAAACCCAGGCATTCTGGGCCTGCTCTCTTATCCACTATAATGTGACTAAGAAGTTTCCAGGTTATTTTAAGGCTACTTAAAAAAAATAAATAACCTCAGCATCAGGTCAAATTGAGGCAACAACTCCCTAATAACATAAGCAACCCATGAGAAGGTGGCAGCAGGCAGCCCAAGGACCAATTGCTCACAATTTCATTCCTGCTCTACAGCGTCTGTCTATATACATCACACAGAATAAATTGGCTAGAAATAGGTCCCCACCCATTTGGTCCCTCCAATCTCACTGTGTATCACACCCAAAGAGCAGCCTAGGTGCGTGGAAAGACTGATAGATGCACTAGTGGTGAAGGCCCATGGAATAGCTTTTCTCCAATGACATTATCAGTCCTGTGCTGATATAATGAAGTAGAACTGCCTGAAAAATGTCACTTCCCAGCAGCACCTACACAGAGATTTTAAATCTACAGGATCTTCAGGAACAAGGAAACCCATCACATTTTATCGGCTCCTATCACAATATGCCACATTTTTTCAGCTTCTTATCTAAGCACTTCTTTGCAAGAGTTTTATATTTCACCTTTAACCAAGGTGGGTCTTAAAACTAAGGATTTCCCCCCACCCCTCTCCCTCTTCACTCTTGATTGATCTTGGATTTTCAACCCACAGGCTCTGGCTGATAAAATTGGCATCGGCTGCTCTTTGGTTCGAGGGGAGTATGGAAGAGCGTGGAATGAAGTTAGGCTGATTAATGAATCTCAAAAGGGAGTGATTGGGGGTCTCCGCCCTGAAGTATTCATTGTTGACCTCATGTTCCATCCAGGTGGATTGATGAAGTTAAAAAGTAAAGAAGCAGATCTTTATAGATTTCTCTAAAATGATCAAAACACACAAAAGGGCACAAACAAGAAACTTATTCTATACACTTTCTACGAAGTTCACCCATTGTTTCTTTAAATAAAAGTATTAGACAGCTTTTCTCTGTGTACAAATGAGGAAGCTTGGATAGACCTAGTTGTGCTTCTGAATTCAGGCTTTGGCAAAGTTTAGTCTGATTAGACCATAATATGCTTACTGTCCCCTGTGAAAAGCTTATTATTGTCAAAGCCAATCCTCCCCAGTGTTTCCTAAGGACCGTCTCTGCCCTTTGGGACTCCTGTTGTAAAAACACTCAGCTGCTGATCCCAGACAACCCCGCGGCCTTATCACTGTCATTCTTCTCGCCCAGAACCCTCCAGGGACACTTGGTTGAATAAATTCAATGGTGTTTAATGCCTTCATTCACCTTTCTCACTTTCATAAAGTTAAAATTATTTATAATTTGAATGTTTACAGATCTATTCTAGTACGACAAATTCTAAATTATTTTGTTCACATTTTTAAAAACTTATTTAGAACAATGTTTGAGATACTTCACTAGACTATAAATATTTCTAGAAACTTTTCATAAATTGTATTTGTCCTATCTGTGTTGACTTGGACACATACCCTCAGTGAAAAGCAATTCTGTTTTGCTTTTACACATTTTAATGCTGTGGGTGACAAAAACATTATTTTTAATTTAAACAACTTAAAAATTCTTCTTTTCTGGGAAACTTTGAAATATAGAAATGGAATAAACCTTTGCTGAGGAATAGTGAACAAAACAGAGCAAACACACTTTTCAAATGGTAAGAGAGATAAAAATGAGTAATATGATGAATCTCATGAAGTATTTATTTCCTGGTCACACTTTATAGTGTACCTGTTTAAAGTTTAAAAGTTTACCATAGGTTTTTACTAGAAGGTTTTTTAATTTTTAAATTTTTTTTTAAAATTTAAGAAATTAAGGCCAAGCTTCATACAGAGAAATTTAAAAAACTGTGTAATTCATATCTTAATAAAGTTATGTATATCAAATATTATGGTAATTATATTTATCACTCAATTTCATGAACTAGAGCATGGATTAGAAGATACAAACTCTTCTAAGCATTTTCAACTCTGTTTTGACCCAGAAAGCACTTAGATTTCAAAGACATTAAAGATGTAACAAATAAAAATAAATGAATATTGTATAATTTCACTTATATGTGGACTCTGATGAACAAAATAAGCAAAGGGGAGACAGACTTATGGATACAGAGGATAGACTGACAGCCATCAGAGGGGAGAGGAATAAGGGGTAGGCAAAAAGGGTGAAGGGACTAAGCAAAGAAAAAAAGAGAAAGACTCACAGACACAGACCACAGACAAGAGTATGGCAATTACCAGAGAGAAGGGAGGTGGGGTGGGGGAAGGTAAAAGAAGGTAAAAGGGGATAAATGGTGATGGAAGGAGACTTGACTTGGAGTGGTGAACACACAATATAATATACAGATGACATACTGTAGAACTGTATACTTTTATTAACTAATGCACCACAATAAATTAAATTAAAATTAAATTAAATAAAACAAAATAAAAAAAAGGCATAAGTGTAGGAAAGAAAGTTCAGCGTGACCAGGAATAAGCTTAGAATTCAAATGCATACATGAAAATTGTATGCATTTTTTAGAGGTGAATGAAAACTTGACTCTATGTACTCTAGCAGCCAGTGCAGAAGGAAATACTCTAAGTTACATGCTCTCTAATCAGGGCCACTAGGTGAAAGCACAGAGCAGTTTCTTGGGAGGAGCAAAGACCAGAGAATTCCTCTATGGGAGCTTCATACAGATGACAAATGTAATACAGAAAATAACTTTTCTGAAAAACAACTTCCTGAGCAGTTTTAGAAAGTTTTCATAGGGCAATGGCCCAATATCAGAATGGAGTGAGTCAGAGTTTCCATACATATCCACTATGATATGGTCCAGGTAGATAGACACCACATTTTTTTAGTCCGGTATGTGCCAAAGACTTTTTTCATCTTTGAGACATTATGTGCATAGTTTCTTAACTAGGTTCTAGGTAATTACTAATAGAAGTGAATTTAAATTATATTCTCAGGTCTTTGAAGTTTATCTATTCTGTTACCAGTTAAGTATAGAGTCATAAAGTTTAATAACAATCCAATCTAGTATAAAAAGAAAACATATTCACAATAGCAACAAAAATTATAAAATACCTAAAGGTAGATTTAATAAAAAATACATTTAAAAAAAACAAAATTTTAATGAGATCCTTTTTCTTGATCAAAATATATATTTAGTATAGTTTCACTTATAATCTCAACACATTTTCTTATTTGGAACTTGAAAAAGTATAACATTTATCTGGAAAAATGAATGCATATGAATACCAATAATATTTTACAATAGAAAAATGAGGAATTGGCTTCATCATATGTAAGAATACATATTAAAAAGCAATAATAAATAAGTTAGTATGAAACAGAAATAAAAAGAGAAAAAATATTAAATCTGGACATAGCTTCTTTTGCCCTCTGGGGGAATGATAGCCTCTTCAGTAAATGATAATTGGAATATTATGATCTTGGCAAATGGAACTCCTTTCTATTATGAATATAAAAAATCCCTAGAAGCCATAGAACATCATTGACAAGTTTGGCTACATAAAATTCCTGTTCAGAAAAATACAGGATAAGAAAAATTATTTCTATTCAGTAAAATAAAATGTAAGCAAAATTATAGGCAGGGAGAAAATATTGGCAACATATGTAACACAAAAAAATGTCCATATCCTTAATAAAGAGTTACTATAAACCAAGGAGATGATCCAAATTGTTCATCTTCTCCAAGATGGACCAAGATGGAGAAGACGGTTCACTTGGAGAAGAGGCCAAGATGATTGTATTTGAATAGAACATCTATACAATGGTAATAATCCTTGAGTCTCAGAAGCTTCACATAAAAGTCTTTATTACATTGCATGTCAAACACAGGCCCATAGAGAGGGTTCCACTCCACACAGTCACTCAAGGAGCCAGGCTGACAGCAGCCCCTCAATGTGTTGCTGCACTGTCTGAAACACAGGACCTCAGTTGCTTCAATGGGAGGAGGAAGTGCTAAGGATCTCTTCTTGGAATAATGTTATTGAGTCAGAACTAGATCCGGGAAATATGGGGCAATGTCTAGAACTATGGAGAGCTGAGATAGAATCCTGTCACTTAAAAACTGTGGAAACTCTGAAAACTGTTGTGGTTGTGAGATTTCAAAACGATTTATATGAAACTCCTTGTGAGGCAGCCAGAATCAAAAGCTACGGTTTCTCTTCTAGAGATCAAACCATTTCATTAAAATGAATATCTAAGGTTCAAAAACAGCTATTAATTAAATGAAGAAATGAACAGATAAACAGAGTTCTTTTCAAAGCTTCCAGCCTTTGAGCAGGTATCGTAAGTGAGGATCCCAGTCTGCACTGCACTTTTAATGAGTACAGATCAGATTTCAAAAGTATTATTTCCTTGTCAAAGAAAGAGCATTGTCATCCATGAAAAATACTTTTCTAGAAGCTCAAAACCATATGTTAAATCAAATGGATACTGCCTATTCTTTTTATTGGCACAGAATTTTTTAAATGGTAACTTATTTTCTTCAGCGAGATATTACTAGAGTATTCCTCTGCCAGAGGCAGTGATCTGGAGGCAAGCGGCAGGTGTTCCAGGAGATGGTGCCTTTTCCCTCAGAGCCATTCACAAGGAAGCTGTGAACCCACACACTGATAGTGCTTATTTGTTTTAATTCACTGAAAACTAAGGGTAGGATAAACTGACTCTACTAAACGGAACACTTCACCTTGCTATATTCTTAGAGGAATACAATAGCATCAAATCATTTACCTGGAGCTTAGTGTTTAAAAGTGCTATATGTTATTAAAAATTACCTGAATATTATTATATAGATTACTAACAAAAGCTTTGCTTTTAAAGCTGTGATTATAATTATTTCAATAATAAAAGTGGTCGTGACTTCAAAGAACAGCTATCAAAGTGTTAAGTGTGAATGTATTAATATAGTGAATTCAAATAATGCTCTTTCAGAACTCACCCAGCACAGGGACCTGTAGGATCTGCCAATAAACAAACGACAAATCTTAATTTAAAAAATAAAAAGAATTTTAGGGAAAAGTAAAGAAATGTTGTTGTGGTGACTTTACTTAAAATTCAATAAGCCTTTTTTATTGCGAAACAGTATCATAACAGCAGTGAAAAGCCCAGGTTTGGAGTTAGAGCTGAGATTAAGTTGTGCTTCTACCTTTTTCTACCTGTGTGACTTTGACAAAATTACTAAATCTCTCTGTTCCTCAGTTTACTCTTCTGAAAAGTGGAGGTAAATAGTAACAACTATTTACATGTTGCTTACTATGTGTCAGAGTCTAGTATATGCCTCCGTTTAATCCTTCCAGTGACTCTGTGATCTATAAGGTAGCATTACTCATGTTCAGCAAGTGAGGCACAGAGAAGTTTAGTAACTTACCCCCAAATCACTTAGCTAGTAAGTGCCAACACTTTAAATATGAACTATATGCCTAATAAAGCTTCAGTGAGGATGAAATAAGTCTATGCATGTAAATGACAGATATGCAAGGGGCTGGGGAAGGTACACCTATATATGTCAGTGTGTGAGTGTGCGTATATAGTATCTGTTTGATTCTCACATAATGTTCTATTCATACCACTGCCTTTAGCATGTTTTGAGGGAATATTTTATTCTTCATGTATCTGTCTCTTCTTTTAGATCTCAAGTCAGCAAATGTTTTCCTTAAAGGGCAAGATAGTATTTTAGGCGTTGCTGGCCATAGTCTCTATTGCATCCACTCAACTCTGCTATTGTAGCGCGAAAGCAGCCATAGATAATAAACTTTGTTTAGTAAAACAGAGGTGAACCAGATTCGGCTCCTGGGCCGCCTTGTCAACCCTTGCTTTGGACGTTGAGCACTTTGAGGGCATGACATGG